CATGCAAAAATGTTGTGGCCAACATATTAAATCGCTAGTTCACTTCATTTATATAATTTGTCGAAGATGGTAGACAAACACTGACAAATTGCAACGCACTCAAACTGGATCTATTCAAAAGAGATGAGATGTGAAAATGAATTGGTATGGATTGATGTTGATTTTTGAAAAGCAATCGGATATACTTGTAGATTGTGCATATCTTGCAAATGTGTAAACGATAGACATCCATATGGAGCATGTAATATTCAAAAGTGGTTCAGTGTGTTGCTCTTTAAAGCTTTGACACATTTCTATTCATGCCTTTGTCGGTTAGTATTACCCGTTGATATAAACCCAAAGGTGACTGAATATTACACCAAGATTTACGCTTATATATGAATTTTCCTTGTCTACGTTCGTTTGGTTTTTTTTTTTTTGAATGTTAAAAAAATACTTTTATCTTGGGACAACCGATAAACGAATTCATTTACATGTAAAATCAATCACAGTTGACGCGGGGTAACTGTCAATAAAGTTGAGCATTTTTACATGTACATCGCACATGGCACACAAAAGCACACATTGCAAATTACAGCATACACAACATTTTGAACGTGAAATGTTTACACATGACCTCTTGTTCAATGTATATTATGCTGAGTACATTCCTATATACTCAGACGCACACACACACACACTTACACTCATATTTGTACCCATAAAATGATAGGTTGAACTTTATGTTCAATCAGTATTTACCTCTTTCCATTTCATTTTATTCTCTTTTTCTCTATTTTGGTCGTCTATAATCATCACATAATAGTCGTTTTGTTGCAATATCTTTCCGACTCGCTCTCACACTGTTGGTTTTTTTTTCTTGCATCTTTGTTGTTTGCATTGATGTTGCGGTTTTGGTGCTTTTACTTTATTCAAGAGCCCTTAAACGCATTTTCTTTTCAAAACCAAGACGCATTCATTCATTTGCAATACTTTTGGGAATCGAATCAAATGATATACATTTGGATTGTGCATTTAGACGAAAACCATGTGTGATGTGTTTTATAACGATCGAGGCAGAAAAGAAAAACAGGGCCGGTATTCTAATGCCACTTTCCGATCAATTTGCTCGGAATTATTCCGAAAAACATATTTCTATGAATGAATATTGTTTTGAATAATATTGTAGCACATAACGAGAATAATAGTCGTTATTCATAAGACAAAAAAAAATAAACAATATTCCACTTATTTTGTTCGGAATTATTCCGACACCTCTTTCAACAGTGGAATTATTCCGACAATATATTGAGCGGACTATTCATTTGAAACTTATATTTTTTTGTCTTTTCAACGTTTGGCGTCAAATATGTACACCAAAAGTACCAAAATATAACTTTAATAGAGCTCTACATTTGTCGCCAAACATTGAAAATATAAAAAAAATTGTTACACACTCAAAATATTAGCTACGGTCAGGCGCTGAATCGGATTGAAAACAATAGAAGTGGTTGTTATAGTGATTGTAGTAATGTGAGTGTTAATATAATTATAACAATAATTTTTATTGTTTTCACTGAGCTGAGTTGTTTATATAAACAAATGATTCCGAACGATTTTTGTGGATTGTTCTAGAATACCGGCCCAGATCGACGACAGCGGAATGGAAAAGAGTCGTAAGTTGAGCATAGATAAAGAAAAAAAAAACACTGTAACGCTCATACAAAAATCGACAAACTAAAGCATTTTTGTTTGATGATATTATGCAAATTCTTCGTCATTTGGGCAGACTTGTGAATATTCATGACTTCATTTTGGTACCGGTTCACGGCGTGTATTTTTGTAATAATTCAACAAACTTGAAGTACACAAGAGTACTCTATACACATTTGCAGTTGTGTTTTTTAATGCTGCATAAATTGATGACCAGTGCCACATTTGATAAGCGAAATTTACTTATTGTCACCACTTCTAGCTTTTTCTCTCCTCTCTCGTTCGTTGTCAATCTTCCTCTCTCTTTCAAATTTATCACTGACTATCATAAGTGTTCCGTTATCATTTTTTCTCTTTTTTTCTTCATTTAGAAGCGTAGCAATCTACGAGCAGTAGGGTGCTTCAGATCTTTATGTATTTCAAATATTTTAAAGAATAAAATCTGCTCGCGAATCGCGTACCTCTCGCATATTCAAAGCAGACTATCATATACCTAAATGTCTGGTCAACTGCTGATATGGTGGGAAATGCGCTTTGTAATAACATTTTAACAGTAATAAAATATGTTCGTCACCAAATTCAGCACACATTCTTTTCCATCACTCGCCATTCAGCTATTTCAAATACAAAGTAGTCAGAAAAGAAGAAGACTTAGTCTTTCCGTCAAAGTCATAAATTTTATTCGCACACTCGCTTCAGTGCATTGTGTAAAATAAGTTGCCATTGTATGTCTCACACCAAAATGCAAATTCTTAGTTCACTCATTTTTCATTTGATGCATGTGTTTAAATATTTCTTTTCTCTCCACTGGTTTGCTCTTTCTGTTGCAATTTTGTGATGCTAACTTCCGACTGTTTTCTGCATTTAAAAACATCGCTCAAAAAGTTTTCTATACTCAAAAAATTCTTATCAAAGATTTTGTATAAAATAACTTTCCATTACATGTGTGGATGCGTTCGCATTTACTGTGGGCTTTCACACATGACTGTAATCAATATTTGAATTTATTCAAAACTGATAAAAATACTGTGTGCTTTTACATGTGTAAAACTATTTGCGTTTTTTTTTCTAGCAAGTTTCAATAAAATGAACATGGAAATAGTTGAAAGAAGAGCTTGGAAATGGAAACAAATAGACAATTCGTTGTGTTGCTTTTTGTTGGTTTAACGTCTTTTTCTTCTTCCGCATGAAATGTGGAGCACACATGCACGCAACAGCAACACACTAAAGTCGTTCGGCAAACATTTCGTTACCCCCCACCCCCCACACCTATGTGAATGGTTATTTAATCGGTAGAGTGAGAGAAAACCAATCCAGCACACGCACACATAATGTTCGACCGAATTCCTTTGCGCAATGAGTCGCATAAGTCTTTTACAGTTGTCTGTTACCATGAAAAAATGCTAGAAAGTTTATTTTTGTGTTAAGAATAAAAAGTCGCAATGTGAAAACAATTCGAAAACTCAATAAATGAAAAACATGTGGCAAGTGAAAGAAAAATATCCAATAAAGTTGCGAGAAATTGAATAAATTGTTGTTAACGTTGAAAAATTACGTCATATATTCTCTGGGCAACAAAGCAATGAAAATGATGCCAAATGAGAGTATTATATTTTCATTTGTCAATGTATGTATGTGTTTGTTGGACATTTTCTTCGTGCTGCCTTTTTTATCTCCATCTTTCTATCTTCGATCGAAAATATATACACATAAATAACACACAACAAAGCGATGTACGATCGAAAGCAGATAGAGATAGCAAATGTAGAAGTTTTTTATTTAAAACTTTTGACATACGTTAATATAATTACACTCTCCTGTGGCGTAGTTGTTTGGTTGCAAAATCAAGTGCGAATTTCAATTTGGACATCACATAAAAACTTTCAACACATGGAAGTGAATGTCTTTCGCTTTGATTTGATTTCATTTTAATTAGCACACCGATCAATACATTCCGGCCACTCGATAGCGATAATGAGTGTACTGTTCTATTCTCTTTCTTCTCCAGCCCACCCCACCTCTCTATCTCTCTGTGTGTGTGTGTGTTCCGTATGTCTCTAACTCTAACTCTCTGGTGTTTGTTTTTTTGTTCGTACTTCCTCGTTTCAAGTAACTTTCGAGAATCCTGTTCAATATTGAACATACCGAAAAAGCATTACAAATGAACCCATTGTGAATTATGACTTGGCGCAAATATGAAAACACCAATGCAAACCAAACAAATGGCTAAAAAAAACTTTTCGTATTGAATCTTTATGCCAAACTATTTCCATTAGTCCATGAGCCGTGGCCAATTTTTCCGTTACCATTGCAACACACAGTTTTGAAAATGTGTACATCATGGTTTCGGGAACTTTGTAATTGAGCTTGTTGGAAACTCATACAAATATATATACAATAAATGTACAAACACCGCCAGTCTTATATATGTTCAATTGCAACAAAAGTAAGCTGCATTCTTGCTATATTGCAACACCATAAAAATGTTCAAATTAAATTGAATTTATGTTAAAAAATACAGGGTAAATGGCAGTGGTGATTGTGTTGTGGCTGAGCTCAGGAGTTGCTTTAAATATAAAATAAAAATAAACAAACAATTTTGGGCCGGGAAAATAATACGAAATCATTTGAATTGGACCACTACACGCATTCAATAAAAATAAGCAATTTGTGTTCTTTTTTTTGCTCAGCTCATGCCCATTAATTATCAAATGTGGTTTAATGTTTTTGTTTCACTCCCTTTTCTTTCGTTTAATGAAAAATTTAATGTATTGGATGCCAAAATTAATTCGATCGTGTCAATTTCAGTTGTACATTTTTTTTAAAATTGAATTCAGTCATTCGTTCTTGATGCTGTGAGATCAACTTTACAAAATGCATTTGTAAATTCGTAATCGGCGACAAATATTTAAGCCTCTACATGAATTGTGTGTGCATAACTTTTTTTCTTTCATTATTGCTGCTCATGCAAAAAGTACAATTGAGCTTTCGAGTTTCGGAAAATTGAAACTACTTTCGGTTTTTGTGACAACAACACCACAACTTAAATTTATATAAAATAAATTTCTCAGATTTAAATCGATTTTCATTGCGTCCATCAAAGTGCTATCTCATACATATAATGCATATAGACATGCAATCGAGAATGCAATTGTTTTATTACAGTCGAGAATGAAAATACATTGTTTGAAAATTACATTTCTCCTATTCATGGCATCGTTTTCCATGTCGACGGTGAATTGAGAAAAATTAAAAAAAAATCTCATTTTGTGCTTCATATTCAACTGATAACAATTAAACGACCATTATTTTGATAACCATAACTTTTTTTATTAAATATATATTTAGCTAATTCAATTTGGTACAAAAAGAAACCGTCTTCATTAGCGATAATTTGATTAATATTAACTGAAGCAAACGAATTTTCAAATAGAATCAAAATTTATAAATGTTGATATGAAATCGCATCAAAACTTTTCACTCTCGAATAAATTAATGCTGGATATATGGCTGGTGTTAAATCGAAATCCGACCAAAGCTCTTCATATTTATTTTTTCTCTGCATAATCTGTTGAAAGACGATTGTTCATTTTTATTAGTTGGCACATAATATGAACAATTTAGTAATTTTACCGAATATTTCTTCCACTCTAATTGTGGTATTCGACGTTTTTTCGTATATGACATCAAGAACTGGAGACAAAATGTTGGTGCATCTTTTTCATAATCCGTAAATCCTCGAATTCGCTCTTGGTGGTTGTGGTCTTTGGACTTATTCTTTCGCACCATTATCGTTACCATGTCATTAGAAAATCTTAAATTAAGATTACACATCGTTTAAAAGTTTACTTAATGTGAGAAAACTATTATTATTATTTTTTATCTGTGTTGTAATTTTACTTGTAATTTCCTTTTAGCACATCGTTTCGATGCTTGCCATTTTGTTGTAATTTTCCAACAATCTGCGATGGTTCGTCGGTTGATGTCATCACAAGCACTCCGCCGTCTGGGAAAAATCTTATGTAACGATAATATTCAACTAAATGTACGGGCCGATAAAATTGATCCTAAAAATAAAATTTAAATCCCATTCATTTTGGCACAATGACACGCTATATTCACATTTTATTTTATTTTATTTTTTTCATTTTCAGTAAAATTGTATTTTTATTGATTCAAACCTGAAAACTCCTTTCTCCATATCGTAGGTAACTGGTTTTACTGATGTAGCATCCATTAAAGCATACTCTGGGTCGTTCAATATACATTTGCCGCCATGATGTGTATTTTGAATCTTTTAAAGCGCCAATACTATGACCCCAAACTCTGTATTGGATTTTATTATGCAAATATTGAAATCGAGCAAACACAATGAAAAAAGCAATCCAGAGAATACCGTCAATTCATGCGATTAATTTATCAGATAAATGTTGGTACATTTTGGATTTGGCGACTGGTGTCACACGTGAATCATCAAATTTTAACATCTAATTCAATAAATCCATCGCATGATTTCATTGAGACGCATAGATCCATCAGACGGTATTATCTGGAGGCCCCAAAAAAATATTGAACATTTACTTGAAACAGGCCAGTCTCCAAATTTCCATATCACGAGCCAATAAATAGAATCCTTTACAAACCATAGAACATTGTTCTAACGATCGAACATCAAGATTACTAGAAACCACCTGGGGATGAGTCAGAAACCAAAAATGTAAATAATTGAACAAAAATAAAATAACCAAAAGAATCGATTGCAATGTTTCTGTAATGCTTCAGTATCTTAATACACACCCATCGCAAAATAAACAGTATAATTTCTGTGGGCAAATCTGAGATGTGTCCACCTTCAGTCACAATGACACCAGTATCAGCATTACCCCTGTTCAGTAAATTTCCATTCTCATTGACGATGGACGTTTGAAACCGATGCACCAAATCAACATCACTTAAATCTTCAACATTCTTATTGTCATCACTTGATTGATTAGTTGTTGGATTCGTTTCGACAATATTATTTGCCAAATGAATGGTTGTTTTCAATTTGTCGTACATTTTAAATTCAATGTCCGGATCTATGTGGACTGCCTTTCGATACATTCGCATTGCTTCAAATACTTTGCCTTTTTTCTCCAATTCCACACCTTGCATGAACAACGCTTCGGCCTAAAAAATATTCAAATTTATCAACAAACAATATCGAATTTTCGTATCGATTCCATTAAATAATTACCTGGTCGTTGGATTCATTTTTCTGTTCTTTGCAATCGATTGTCTTCTTAATATTGTCATTTTCCTTGTTTCGTTTTGTTGTGTTCAATTCTTTTTGCCATTTTTCACGAAACTGTTCCAATGTGTCGGGTGGAGAAGAGGAAGAAGATGATTCATCGGACTCATCATCCATTTCCGAAATACTTTCTCTAATTTAAAAAGCAAAAAACGTGAGAACAATAATAATATAAAATTATGTAAGGCAAATTTTAAGGTTAGATTTCACATACCGAGGTGATTGCTAGCCAAACAAATTTTCAGAATAAACTCAAAATGGGGACAATAAAATCACGATAAGAAAACTGAATTACTTTCACAGCCAATAAATTATTGTTCAATACGAACACGCTTTTGGTCATTATTCGATTGGGTTGCTTGAAAACAAACATCAAACGCTCAATGATTGTTTTGGAATCTTTCAATCAACAGATACTTTTCATTTATTCAATTTCTTCTGGATATTCAAACGATTATTTATTTACAAGGATTGCCTGTGATCTTTATTTGATTCAATATGATGAATGATCCATATTTTATGGCGATTCAAATAATATGAAAATAATGACTTCACAATAATAATACACACACTATCTGCGGATAAACAATTTGTTTTGATGGTATGTTGACATTGAACGTCAATGTGTATCGACCATTTTTGACATATATTCCACGTACACATGCATACACACTGTCAAAATATTGTGTATACACAAATACAGGGAGACAGTGAAAGAGAGGAAGAAAAAAGTCTGTCTGCACTACGCATATGTGCATGAAAACTGCTGACATCCATTTAAAACTGAATTATTAATTAGAATTTAATGGACATGCAATGACAAAAATTGAAAGCTGAAAAATTAATTGCGCAAAAAAAAGAAGAAAAATACGAACATTTTCATTATGAATGTTTGTTCGACTTTATTTCTATTTTTACTGTTATGATTTTTTGTGTGTATGTTTCAACTACAAATTTTAAAATATTGTTTTTTTTTAAATATGTTTTCCTTAAAAAGAATACGTGCTGCGTGCAAATATGCTTTGTCTGAAATGAGGGCCAGCGCAAAGCAAAATTTGCAATTTAAAATGCAATCGAATTCTGGTTTAAAATGGTTCAATCACAACGATCTGTCAAAACGGGAACCAGACCGTGATGCAAATCGTAATCAAATCGTTTTTCAATGTTTTCTTCTGTTTATTAAATATTATTTTCAACTCACGATCCAGACGTTGTTTTAAAGTTAAATTCAAACGATTATTTCACTGTTTCTTTAACATTATTAAATGCACGTTACAAATTTAATCTACAATTATCAATGGCATTTTTTAAGGCTACTAAAATTATGGTAAATATAATATATAATTTACGAATCGTGTTCATCTTAAATACTGGATCCTTTCTCTATTTCTCTTTTTTTAGGAGCATTATTATATTTCTGGGGGGTTTGACGGTGCACATTTGATTTTTATTTGTATGTTTTTGGAGCTAATAATGTTCTATGTGGTGTTTGGGAATTAGATCTTGAATTAATTCGTTTCATTCATTTTAAAGCATAAACTCGTTTATGGCATTTAACATCGAATTAATATTATTTTTACTGAAATGTATCACTTAATGGAAGTTCATATTTTGTGTGTCTGTGCATGTAAGTGTGTGTATGTCGTTTGTTATAAAAAATTGTATGAAGTTAGAATAACAGATTAATTAACGTTTCTCTATTTTTCATTTTATTTTACCATTTGTGTAAAATTGTTTCTTTTCATTGTTTTTATCATCATTTTTTTTTTCAACATTACAAAATAAATGCATAATTTTTGCTCATAATTTTCTTTCAAATATGCAGATGTTTCGTATTTCAATGGTTTCTCTTATATTTTCTTATAAAATAAATATTCCCTTTTCTGATATCAAATATGAACTATACATCTACTATATCACGTTCTACGATTAACTTTGGACAGTCGCAAGCCACACGCTAAAAGGATTCATATACAATATGAAAAAAAAAGTTTTTTTTTTCAGTTTTTCTTCTGTGTCTTGTGTGTGTGTTTTTTTTTGTATCAATGGATAATCTATAGATTGATCTATGATTTGAAAATTTTAAAACTTTTCAAGTGAATTGACGATTAGAATATAATATTCGATTTTCACTATTGACTGATAGATGTAATATGTATATTTATAAAGTTTAAATTTCTTTTTGAATAATAATATGCTCAAATCGCATTTTGTCGGGCGTGTCCCAGCAACTCTTTGTACATGTAAATACAAGTACGTTACCAAATTCGATGGGCGATGGTTCGCCATTAACAAACTGCAATTTTGAGATGAGAGTTGGTAAAATTTGCACTTCGCACAGCAATTCGTTGCCACAATACTGACATTTTGGTATGGGTTCTATTAACGGTGCAATTAATAATGGCAACGTATCACGCGAATATCTGCAATAAATGCAAAATGAAATGTTAGCAAATTTATTTAAATGAAATAGTTTAACATTGTTTGTTGTTGTTTTTTTTTCATGTCACCAATGATTTTGGCTTTGCCCATTGTCGATGGTATCATTTGTTTTTTTTTTTTTAGTCTGTCTCTCTTACCGAAGTATTTGTCCAGGATTTTCTTGGATTCGTTCCAAATAGTTGTGAAACATGAGATCACCATGCACGGGAATTGCTTTCTCATATTTTTCGTCATTATCACTTTTCATGGATACAATTCCGCCCGTTACCAAATTGCACGGACTACTCGGATTGGCTTTTTGCTCTAATTGTTTTGTAAGAAAAAAATAATAATTCAAAATCACATTAAATTATAATTCACATATATTCAGATGTTTCAGATGGCTTACTTTCTTCTTCGCCTTGATATTTGTGCAATAATTCTCGAATATGATCATTCGATAATGCACTATTTGATTCAATTGACACATTTTTCTCTTCATCAACGAGAATAAAATAGCTTTTGAGCACCAGATTGTTGATATCTTGTGGAATTGCCCTTGTTTGTTTGAGCATAGCAATTAAATCACGCTCGGGTGCAACGGGCGCATCAACGCACACCATTTCTGATTCTTCACCTTCGATTTCAGCCGATGCACTTGGCGAATTCAGCAATCCCACTGCGCCACCTAATTAATGAATTGAATTTCATTGGTATAATAAAAACAAAACAAAAAAAAATGAGAGAGAGAGAGAGAGAGAAAAAAACCTTGTTGTTCACCACAGTTTGCATTTTTATCATCAATCACTTGTAAGTTATTGAACATTGGAATTGGATCGTCCGTGGAATTACTTTCGTCTTCATCGTCGGACATATTTCGATTTTCATTTTTTGCCATAACAATATTATTGCACACCATGTTGCCATTTTGTTCATTTAAATTATCATCGAGCGGCTGTTGCTGGGCCACCAATTGCATTTGATTACTACAATTGATATTACTTTTATCGAATCCATCACCATCGTCACCAAATTCATCGGTGCCCCAATCATCGGCACCACTACACCACGATGTTATATTTATTGAGTTCACTTGAGTTTTCTTTTTATTCGATGTGCCATTTCGTTCGTAAATCTTTTCTAAATGTTCGATTCGTAAGCAGAGCCAACCTTTCGATTGATTTGAGCATATCGAATTCATGCATGCAAATATATAAAATGTGCGATGAAATTGCGAATTTTCTAATGGTGCATAGATTTGCAGTATTAATGGTCGTATCAAGCCACACAACGGACAAGGCGGTATCGAAAGTTCACTACTTGGCCAATTCTATGAATTTGAGAAAAAAAAAATCCATTTCATATAAAAACGAGACAAAACACATTTTAAAAAAATAACACATATATTAATAAATTAAACCCATGCTGTGTATATGTGTAAGAGTATCTCTTTCTCTTAATTTTTTATAGCACACACACTGGGTGAGATATCAATAAGTCTTTCAAAGAAACTTTTTCTTATACATAACAATGGCATTTACTTACGGGCTTTCCACCAATTTTATTTGTGGTAAAATCAACAAACGAAATTTGTTTATCAGTTATTTGCTCATCATCATAGCCAAGTAAAACTAAAGACGTATTTTTAGCCATAATCAATACGGTTTATCGTATTTAGCGCGTAAATATTTGTTTAATTTTTTTTTTTTTTAATTTTTATGTAATTAAATTTCTTTTGTTTTCGTTTTTGTTTTTCACACGCTCGATTCGTTCTGTGTGAATGGCAACAAAAATGTCCTTTTACTGAAAACAAAAACACGCACAGACCAATCATAAGTTACCTATGTTTTACTGTGCCTCTGAGCACACTTTTTTGACATTTTACCAATAATACAAGATGTGTTCATGTGTTGTCTATTTTCAGGGGGTGCGTTCACATGGCCGAGTATGTATGATAGGTTTGTATGTTCATGGATAAGACTTTTCTTATTTGAATTATGTAAAAATATAAAATGCTTGTGGTTTGTTTGTATAAAATTATATTTGTTTATTTTATTAAAATGTTTAAATTTATATTTAGTTTATAGAAAGGCACATATTCTTTTTTTTTTCATTTAACTGAATTAATTTATATTAAAAATATTATAAGAACCACAATCAAAATTAATTTCGTTTTTTTTCTTCACCATTTAATTTGTAAATTAGTTGTACCGATTTAAGAAAAAAATATCTTTACTGTTTATTTTTCCCTCACAACGCAAAAATCACATAGACAAAAACAAAATTAGAGTAGAGTTATATATTATTATTATTATTCCCAAACAATTCATACGTGATGTAATGTAATTGATGAAAAATGTGTAACACAAAATTTCAATTAATTTTGTGTATGTGTTTTTTTTTCTTTTCAAATGGAATCTAATTCATCTGACATAAATAAAAAATTCTATCTAGTGAAATGGCACTATGCATAATTAGAAAATAAATCAGAACCATTAAAAGACCCAATTGAATCAGTGAAGTTAGATTATTTGTAGCATTGATGTCGGTTGATATGCCATTGTATTTATTTATGCAATGGTCAACGCTACGATTGGGCATTGATTATAAGTCAGTGACGGGTCCAGATAGATTAATCGTACTGGTTCCATTGCTGTTTGTCATAACTTTTGGCGCGACCGATGTGATAGTCGATGTTATTCTTTGCTTTCCCACGGCCAAATCGTCGGCATTGATATTGCTGCCAACGCCACCGCCGTTGCCACTTTTATTGTTGTTTAATCGCATCGCCGATGAACCGGTGCTTATCGTAACTACATTATTGTTATCGTTTGCTTGTGATGATTTCGTTTGCAAAGACTTCATCAAACGATATTCCAAACTGAAAAATATTAAGATTGTGATTAGATTGAATTGATTTTTCAGTGATAAAAATACTCATATTTACTCTTGAATCTTTTTATCGGCTTGTTTATTAGACGCACGCGCATCTTCGAGCTCTCGTCTTAATTCTAGATTATCTTTTTCTATTTGAACAAAATTACTTTCATGACTTTCATTGTTGGTCGCATTTGCATAAATGCCATCATTCGGATGTTGTTGTTGTTGAGCAATATTATTGCGACCAAAGTTCAGATTATCTTCTTTGAGCAATTCATTAAATTGTTGTTGAATTGGACGCAACAGCTCCGTATCGTCGTCTTGATTGAATTTTTGTGGAAAACTACGTCGTTTTTGTGCATCACTTGGTGATAGTGATGGTCGCGTCGATGAATTTTGTCGCAAAAAATTTCGATCGACCACATTGAATGGTGTCGATTGATTTGATTGATTGTATGGCGTGCTCGAATTTGAATTTCCATTATAGTTGAGCAAATGGGACACAATACTTTTTAATGTTTTTACTTCATCTTCCAGTTTTGACACTTGATTCTTCATTTCGAATTTTTCCGATTTCAATTGATTGACTTGAATCTGAAATAAATGAATCGAAAAGCATTAATAATATGTTCTTATTCTTCATTTGATAAATTAATATTGAATAGGAAACACCGAATTGGTTCTCTCTCACGCTTACTTTCATTTCTTCCAAGTCACGCATCATTTTTAGGTTTGATTCGCTCATCGACCATGAACGCTCCTCGACCAATGCACGTACACGACTCAATAACGCCTCTTCCCGTATGCGAGCCGCTTCTTTAACTTCTCGCACAACATCAGTCATACAACCCGGCGTATACACACCTGTAAATGCACACACGCACACCAAAATACATCATAAACATTAATTAATCAATTCATATGAAAACTCATTTTGCGCATCGCATGCCAACATTTACTCAACCTCTCGAGCGTATGAATGCATTTGCAAGCAATTTAAAAATATAAAAATAAATATGAATTTGAACGAATAAATAACAATAATAACGAAAGAGATAATAGATTCAATGATAAGAACAACAGAACATTGTCGTTTATTAAGTGCAAATGCTTGAAGATTAGTGGTAGTTTTTCTCAATTATACACTCGATATACATTTTAAATTTATTGAATAATTACAACGAAAAAATGCAAATAACTACGGTTTCATTTGAAAATTGTGATGTATCGCATGGACTCGATTCGCGCTAATTCATTTTAAATTGCAGCTTTGCTTGAACTTATTCACGATACATTTGTTTCTTCGATGCTTTTTTTTTTGGTAAAAATAAAGAGGTCAAGATCGATACATTAAAACGAATCGATTCAAATCGGAGTGTATGCTATATATATAACTGTGTGCTTGCTCGTAGCGCATTGATGTTATTCTCTATCAATTGATATTCGATTTACCTGAGTGATATGTTGGTGCTGGACTATGTGCTCCAAATGTATATCCCAAGGGCTGGCTGTGTGTGCTAAAGCCACTTATGCTATCTCTACGATTTCTTAAATCCCAATTTGGTGCATGTTTCAACGTTTCAATTTCAACTTGATAAATAACAACGACACAAACAATTACGAATAATGCGAAATTATTCCCAAAAAAAACATCAAATCTAATTGAAAAACTTTATACATATTGTTGTTGTGATGTGTATTCTACAAAATAAGTGTATATTTTTCAAACGGTCAATTTTATTTTGACTGGACAGATAGAAAATCTAACTACGTTTCTACGCTCTAATCATGTGCTTGAGATCAGAATGCGTCTTTGAAAGTAGGCGAAATCGATGTTGTTCACCTCTTTTCGAATGTTCTGACTGCTGTGTGTATAGCGATTCTGACGTTTTGATCAGTTCTAAGTTAGAACTTCTAACTACACATTTTTGTTGTTTTATACACTTATTTGCCGCACACATAAACACACAATGTGTGTTGTAACAGCTAAATGTCTACTCACTTTTTGTATCATTTAAATTTCGGCATATTTTGGAATTTGTTTCGTGTAGAATATTAATTTGTTTGATGAGCGTGGCGATCAGCTTATTTTGATCGGATTGATTTTTCAAATTGCTTTTATCACCATCATTTTGCGTTTCATCCTCTAAATTGGCGGCCAAACATGGATCGCTAAATCTATAAAAAAAAAAAAATATTGAAATAGACCAAATGATTTAGTGGGCAATAATTTTGATGATTCTTTTTATTTTCTTCTTCACAAACATGAGGAAGAACCAACAAAAAAAGAAGAAAATTACCGGCGATTGTCTAAACCATCGAGCAAATCATTTTGTGAAGAGCTTCGATTCGTGTCGGTGTTTAGATTAACGGCAGGCGGAAGACTAGTGAATTCGGAATGGTGACTGGGTATTTTCATTGAAGCTGAAGGTGATGCAAAATTGGCGGCTCGAAAATATGGCGACGTTTCAAAATTATTGACATATGCGAAATTACTTTGGTTCTGAACGTTGATGAATAAACACACATACATACAAAAACGAAACAAATGAATTAATTAGTATTTGATTATGTTTAATGTAAAAGTAATAGTTTAAAAAGAACTTACTTGAAATTCAGATGGCATCATGCGAAGCAGATTGACGGGCGGCATTACAATTCCCATTGAACCCAATCCATTTGTATTGTTGATGACATTTCGTGTGGGACCGTCTAAAAATTCCGTTGATGATACTGAAAATGTTTTTGGTGAATCTTTCATGGTGGCATTCAGCCATTCATCCAGATGACTTGTACGATTTGCATCGTTATTTGTGTTGCCATTGTTGCAATTGTTATTATTACTGTTTAGCCAATCGTCCATTGACTTTATAAATTGATTATTATTATTATTATTATTTAAATTGTGTGTGCTACCGTTTGCACTGTTGGCCGGATTGGGTTTACAATACTGTTGCGGTGTATTCATGTTTGATGTTGATAATTTCGGCTTTTGACGTGTTCGCTTTTGATCTAATATTGAATGATATAAATTTTTTTTAATTATCTAATCATAGTGTATTAAATAAAAAAAACACACACACAAATTAATATATCAAGTAGAAAAAATGGGTGCAAGAGTGAGTAATAAAAATACCACCAAAGGTTAAAGAGAGATTTAGCTACAATATTTTATTTAAAATTGCACTCCAGCACACGCACGAGCAATTTTTGTGTATTTTATGTGCGCCGTCGATGGGTATCTACCGCATACTCCAGAAAGTTCTTTTTTTTGTGTGTTTCAAATGTGTTAAATGGTTGCTTGCGAAATAGAAATATGAAATGACCATGTTTTTTATTATTATTATTTGTTTGTTTTGCGATCATCACGATCACACAAGCGACGACGACGCAATGAAACGTGTATGACTCAATTACGACGACAAAAATAGCGATCTCCAGTTCTAAGACAGTTTTTTTTGTGACGTTTGAGATGTTTCATGTTTTATTGTGTTTTTTTTTATTTATGTAATCTTGCGAACATGTGTGTATAGAGAAAAAACACATTTATATGTATAAAAATATATACACATGATTGGAGCAACAAGACGAGATTCATAGGCTACATCGGAATAATATGGTTTGCACATCAAAATCCACGATGAAGACAAAAAAATAATAATGTGTGTAAAAGCAAAGCAACACGAAGCACATAACAAAAAATTATCATGTGCACAAGATGTTAACAATGTGTCATAGTGAATGTCTCACACAGTGACCAAGAGAGGTAGAAGTTCAACGCCGCAACAAAATATAATGTACATTTAACATGATGCAAAGATCACGATCAGTTTGTTATTTTTATGCGAAGTGTGTCGTCTGTATTTGGGCGTCTGACTCTTTTTAAATTTCGTACATACTTTAATGCATACACACACACACAGTGAGAGATATCGCGATGGAATGTAGTTCAGATCGGATACAATATTCGATCAATTTAAAGTAGCGCATAGAAAACCAGCTTCCAAAATATGCATATGAATACATTCTCTTGGCTGAGTAGGAAAAAAAAGGTTTCATGCCATGGAGAAAATTGCGATTAGGTGTGTGTTTTTTTTTTTCGTTGTTTTTCTTTTGCGCTCGTTATTCGAATCAATGCTCACAACATATTTTTTTCGCTCTCGGTAAATTTAAAACGAAAAAAAAGTGAATAGAATGCTATGAAGTAAATTGTGTATAGATTACGTATATCGTTGGTTGGGAAGTTGTTGCTATATGTGTGCAGCTATAAGGTGAGCCATGGTATGCCGCGATTCTGTCGTTGCATTCGAAAACGAACCGAAAAGAGTTGGAAACATTTGTTATACATGGATATGGTTGGATGAGTACAACATAAAATGCAACCAGCAAAGCACCGCGTACTAAAATTTTCGTGCTTGAAACAAAAAACGAACAAACAAACAGCAACAACGATGCAAAAGGGACACAAACAACAACAGAACGGTACTCATGAATGGCAAAAGAGACACATTCTGACATTAGCGCTCGAACATATTATAGAATTCGTGAACTCATATCTAGGTGTACAACACTCATCATCATTTACACCGGGGCATAACAATACGGTGACCAAACGTATGCACGCGCCTCAATTGAATTAAATGAAGAAGAAGAAAAACGAACAACAACAAATAAGCCAAGCTAATAAATAAATAAACAAACAAGCGGATCTACACACTGTGAGTAAGAATTTGGACACCATCGATTTCAATGGCAATTTAAAACCATTGCACAAGCTCAAATGCACATGGCTACAAACAATCAAATGCATACACGAATTGAATTAAACGATCGTAGCTGCTGCTGTAGTTTGCCGTTGCTCAGGTTTTTTTTCGTTTGTTTATTGTTTAATTTGTTCATACTTTTGATATGGTTCGTTAATTTTCGTCTGTGCAATTGTCGTAAATGGCCTAAAATTAGAAATATACCTTTTATTATATTTTATTTGAACTTTGCCAGCTACATTTTCGGAATGTTCTTGTCGGTATGAATTTTTAATTTCCCTTATTGCGAGCGCCCTTTTTTTCACTCGAAATAATTGATTCAACTGTCTTACCGTTTTTTCCATTAAGCAATTGATTAATAATTCCATTTCAATTATATATTGTTAGCCGTGTAAATTTGATTGGGCAATTTGGATTGTTTACAAATTAGAAAACAACCTTGTAATTGGGATTGACGAGAGTTGAAAAAAAAACGATCAAATTGAAAGCGATTCAACGGAAAAGAAGTGGTATGTTTTTGTGTTCAATTTTCGCTGTCAAGTGGGCTAAATCTAGAATTCGAGTAGGATTCGATTGAATTTTTTCTTTCATTGCGACCAATTTAATTCAGTAAAACGCCTAATGCGTCCATCAACAATCGAATTGGCGTCTATTTCATTTGGGAATCGATTCAATCGCTTTTTACCCATAAATAGAATTATTCAACAATCGACAGATTGATACTTCCATGACTCTCTCTTTCTGTTTGTGTGTATGAGTCATGGTATTACTATTGTTGGCATTTTTTGTGCGAATATTCAACAAGAATGAACAGTGAATAATGTTTGCAAATCAAAGTGAACAAAAATGGGGGCCTTGTATCGCTGAAATTGTGAACTAAAACATTAGTTTGCGGTATTCGCGCTTCTTTTTCACATACCTCTCATATTTATCTGAATAGCATGGCATGCAATAGCATGGTTTTGTTTGCAAATTGGTTGCCATGCATAGGCCTTCCACCGAATATTGTTACGAAGTCAACATCAACAGTATCCAGCATAGCATTTGTGTAAATAATGATAACAAAATGAACGAACACGAAAAAAGAAAAAAAAAACTTGCATGTTCAAACAAAAGACTCATTCAAAATCTCTGAGAAATTACGAGGCACGAAAAACGCAACCGTAAAAATTCAACGCGAATGAAACAAACAAAACGAAAAAAAAAAGCTGCAAAAAGCAAAAGTAAAAACTGCCAACGATATTATATCATTCGAATGTTTTTTTCTTTGATTTTATTTTTCTGTTTTTTTTTTCTTTGCCTCTTTCATTGTTCGCGTTATGTTCAATGTTATGTTTCCCAAGATGTGCCGGAAAACAAATGATTGCGGATGGTATTCGAAGAATGGGTGTACCAATCTACGGATGGCCGTCAAAGCATTAGCATTGGTGCAAATAGAGCATGTTGTGCGTGATGTTTGTTCACGTGCATCGTTCATCATAATATTGAGAGCCATCGAGATCATCCGCGAGGGAAAAAAATATTATAAATATAGCGACGATATGCGGTCAACCATCAGATCGACGAAGGAGACCAATGTGAATTTAATTGTATAAATTAGAAATTTAATTGTTTGCAATTTCTCACCAAACGTGTTAATTATCGCTTAAATTATAAATGCCAAGTATAGCAAAAAAAAAACTGTAATAACAATAGCAAAAACATAATGAAATATCAGTTAAACAAGATACTATATAGTATATACCCGGTGTGTTCATTAGTTTTATTGCCTTATTACTAAACGACTACGTGAACCGAACCGAACCCAAACCAAAAAATAAAAATAAAATGAAAATAAACTAAATTAAAAGGAAAGAGAGAGAAAATAACGAAAATAATAACAGCACCAGCAATCGAATTAAAATAAAGTAACTGTGAGTTGAGTGAGAAAGAAACAAAACCGAAAAATATACAGGCTACACTAATAAAGAAAGACTCACTTTTACAGTTTAAATTATCGCCGAAATCCGTATTACTTTTTGGTGCAGCCGTAGCAGATGTTCCGCTTAGGTTAACTGCATTTGAGGCGTTCATGCTAGCGCCATTGGTTACATTATTATGACTAGGTATATTTGAATTATTTCCGTTGACCATTTTGTTGGCAACTGTTGACGATGCTTTTGTGACGTGTGTTGTCATTGAATTTATTTTATTTGTCTGACTCATTTAGAAATGTTCAAATAAATGAAAACGAGATAGGCTGAAAACCAAAGAAAATCATCTTATTGATCATCCTAGTATAATTCATAATATATAATTTCTCATGTTCTTTGAAAAAGTGTCTATCATTCGTAGTTCCATAAAATATTGAAATCTTCACCAATTTCCACCAAGTGAAAATGGAATGACAGTGACGGAAATATGAAATAAAATCGGTTCGTGTGATTCTTTTGGCTGATAAGGAGATTGTGTGTACATTCACACGGATGATTATTTTCAAAATTAATTATGGTTCAACGTTTTCCATGGGAATTGATCGTTCTGTCGCATTTTGTGGTTGTTATCTTTTCTCTTCCATGCTCTGTTCGAGAATGCGATTCTTTCGTTTCGGCATAAATTTTTGTTCAATGTTTTTTTAAGTCATTATGACTGTTTGAATGGGCTTTCTTCTCTCATTTTAATGACCAAATTGGATAATCCAGAGTTTCTCTGTCAGTGTCGTTGTCTTAGCGCTGAGAAACATTCACATTTTTGCATTCGACTATGTGAATGGTTAATTTGAGACGAACACATAAGATGTAAGAGGGAAAAAGAAACATATTGTACCTCAATGCCAATCACATCACCACTTCACGTAATTGCAGCCAATTACATTTCGTTACTCACTTTGATCTTACAATCAATTGTTGTGATTTGTATGAATTGAATAGCTGAATAGATGAATTATTGAAATAAAATCATAGCGATAATACTTTAGCACGCAAATGAAATGAATTCTCTTCTTCTTCTTCACTTAACCTTTTGTGTATGTTCTTAAGCTTTGATTTAACAAAATGAAAGAAAAAGAAAGACCACTGACATCTCTTGGAATGTCGAGTTTTCTATTGAAATAGATTGTACGGTGCTTATCTCGTGATTATTCATCGGGTTTTGAATGAAATGAATATACATACATAAGAAAAACGATCACTTAAAGTATATGGCATTTTCGATCGTGGGTTTTCTTCTTATTTACTGTGTGCGTGTTTATGTAGTTTTTTATTTACCTTCTTTCATTTACAATAAGGAGAAAGTACACACGCTGTCGCGTTTTAGTTGTTTTGTCATGATTTTCTGTGGCTGAACTTAACAAGATGCTGTGCACAGCAAGTACAAGCATATCGATCTTTTATGTCTTGTTGGTGCTGCTTGTTGATGGTTTCTCTCTGTCTCTTAATTTCCATCGCTTGCTCTTTCTTTTCCGTTTTTTTTTTATATTTCGGATAAGTGAAAAAAATGAATGTGATAATCGATCGTGTTTGCTTCTGGTAAACATTATTCTCGTGTTTACAGTATCTTTAATAAAACTCAATGCAATTTTACGATGATGATCATTTCTTTATCTCTTCATACGGATGCAGATATTTTAACATATATTCGGAGCAATCGACTCAATATTAGACATTTTCAAAAGATTATGATAATGGCGCCTATCGATCAAAAAACATTTCTTAATCTTTTCTTTCTTCAATTCACATTAACAGATTAAGATTTTCTTGACGTTGTTCAGATTTGATAGGAATGAAGTCGCTTATGTTTGTATAAATATGTGTGAAAATGCATGGAATGCATGCATCAACGCAAAATAAAAACACATCGAAATTCGCTTCGAATTCTGAATATTCAGATCGAAAAAAAAACATGCGAAATTAAAAAACTGGATTTTTATGCATATTATATTGAATTGGGCGCACAATATAGTAAATCGAAACTATAAAAACAAAACAGTCAACACACTGCATGCAACACAATCGAATGCTTTATCCTTCACATTCGTATCGTGTGGAACTCATGCATCAATTCCACTACAAACATTCAATCATGTTTCCTCTCTCACTGTGTGTGAGCGCCAACAGAAATAGCAGCAACAATAACAGCTATAAGCTGATTTTTATTGCACAAGGTAGTTGTTGGTCACCTAACAATTTGGTCATAAAAAAATTGATTTTAACCAGGCGATTAAATGTTTACAGAAAATAAACTAAAATGGTGTTATTAATCAACATTTTTTTAAATGGCATTATGTATTTATGAGAAATGTCGCATGCCACACGCTGCAATCGGATAAACAATATCGATCGGTTGAATACTTTGGTCGATGCCAATTTCAACTTCCATAACTTTATACACAGTCTCTTTCTCTCTCTCTCTCTCTCTCTCTCTTTCTCTCTCTCTTTTCACTACAATGTCCATTCTCTGTTTACTCATTCTGTCTCGGTTTCACTCAGAATTGATTGCACAATACTACAACGGATATGGATGGACAACGCGATATTGAATGGTATTGGTGTGTTGTCGATGGCCATCGTTTTGGTTACTCGTTGCGGATATTTAAGAAAAAATAAAAACAAAAAACGACCAACTGAACGTCATTTACAAGTGGCTCTCTTTCACCAGCCACACAGTGTTTATTAATTTTAAGCGATTTTCGCTCGGCGATGCATAGAAAATGCTAAGTTTCTTCGCTTATTTATCCTCTGACCAAGAAGAGGAGGAAGAAAAAGATGAAGAACATTGGTTTATTTTTCTTCACTCTGCATACCGCGAGTATGCGTTCAATGTGTGTATGTAAATTTTATAATCAAACGCGCAAAAATACCGAAACAATACACACAACAATAAATTACAGCAATGGAACACACTAAATGGGATCTCATAATATAATAATGGCAAAACATAAGCACACATAAATATTCGCCAGTATGGAAATGAAATGTTTCGCATTGAGCTATTTCAAAACAATTCTTTTTTTTTTCTTCTTCATTTTCTTCTTCTTCTTTTTATTCATAAAGAAAATAGTGTGTTTGCGCGTTTTCTCATTTGTGGGTTATATATTATTTTATTTGCTTTACTCTCTCTCATTCTCTATCTATCTCTAGCTTCGCTTTTGTATGTGGGTACATTATATTGGATTTGTAAGAAGAAAATGTTCTTGGCTTTTGCATTTTCTGTTTTCTTTTCTCTATTTTCACTCAATTGATCTTGTTGATTCCGTTCTTATTTTTCAAGTATTCCTAATATAATGTTGAAACATTCTTTGGTAAAATTATATGCTTTATACACCGCGGATTTTTGTTATCATTAAAGTCGTTGCCGTTGCTTGTCGTACCATTGGTTTTGGTGATTTGCGCGTTCATTAGATAAAAAAAAAACTGTTTCTGGTTTGTTTTTCTCCTCTTTTGGAGCACCAACAACAAATAACAACCAAATTAAAAAAGAACACGTAACAAGACACTACGATTAATAGACAAAAAAAAATAAAATTAGGTTGAGAATTACCAATCGAATTGCGGTTTCACGTTACAAGTTTTGACGAAAAACATTAACATACAAAACAAATTAACACAAAACAACTGATCGAATATTGTAACGCATTCGTTGTCGTTGTCGCTGTCGTTGTTCTTTCCGAAAAACACTACACAAATACTTTTTACAAATTTTTTTTTTTTCTCTTTTGTCTGGCCAATATTTTACTCAATGCCAAACACACCGAATGATATTTTAAAATATATTTTTTTCTTGGATTTTGCTAGTCACCGAATTCAGTGACTCGAGATTTGTTGGGGCGTCACGGCCATACAAAAACTTGTACAATCTCATCGAACACTTTGAATGTCTACCTTATTTAGTTGCATCGATGTGTGTTGAATTAATTTATTTGCCTTTTTATGTTCTTCCTTAAATAAATACGTATTTTAGTTTGAGAAAATAAAAAACAAACGTGTAATGACTAAAAATCAAGAGACAGACATCGCAAAAACAAAACACACACACTAAATGCACTTTGTGTGCATGTTGCTTTTATTTTCGTTTAAATTCGCTTATAATCTTCTTCTTATTTTTTTTTTGTTGCACAGCGCACACAAACACTTTATTTTACATCACAAGACTTACGACTGCCAAAACGTCACGAAACATAGGTATTTTTCTGCTGACAGTTCGCGTTTGACTGAGAGAACAAACAACATTCAATGAATGTTTGTAAACGCACACATGTCGGTTCGTTGGATTCGGTTTGGTTCGCAACGTCGAATGCTTTACAATGACGCACAGCGCTACATCTGAAATCGTACAACCGATTTAAGCACATTCCAAATGGAGACGCCACAACACATTTTAAAAACTTTCACACATCGTTTTGTAGTATGGTGTTTTAGTGTTATTCTCATTTATTTTGCCGGTTCTGCTGGCATTGCACTGTAGATAATCAAATGAAGGGAAACAAAAGACGCATGAAATTGTGTCGGTGTAAGTAAGTTATTCTTGATTTTTATTCGAGATCTACATTCATTTAGTATTTTATTAAATTATTCGGAGAAGATTATAAATCTGCACATTTTGCTCGGTTTTGTGCAAACATTAGCACGGGCTAACTGTCCAGCTGCTGCTATTGTTGATTGCCATTCAATAGCAGCTGGTGAATATGACCTTTGGCTCATTGCTTTTGTAATGAACGCTTAGGATTTTAGGCATGACATTTGTATTCCACCCTCCATTTGTTCTCATCCAGCTAGACAGTTAGATCATGGTAAGGTTTGATTTTGTATGTTTGTGTTTGTGTGTATGTGTACCTTTAAAAACTCTTTGAACACGTGCATTCTCATGTGAAATTAGATATAAAATTTTTGATTCGATTTTTGTGATTTTCCATTTTGGTATTATTATTTTTTTTTTGCCACACAAACTAACCTAAACGATTGATGCCAAATATTAAATTAATAGTTTTGACTTAAATGCAAATATTGATAGCCTGAAGCCTATTTACATGAAAGTTAATGGATTCAGCTAAACACAATATACAATATAAATTTGAGTAAATTTCGCTTAGCGATTGTGCTATAGAATTAGAGAAATCGTGTTCCAACGGATTCACTATTTTTAGGTGAAAAAAAACTTTCCAATGGAGCATGTTTTGATACATTTTTTTTCGTTGTTGAAGAAAAATCCGGAAAATAAAAAGTACACAGCTGGTGACTCATTGAAAGTGAAAAGATTTTTTGTTTGTTTGAAATAATTATTTTGAACTTTTAAATTTTTGTGTGTGTTCGACAATCTGGTCGTGATAAAAATGGCGTTAGAATCATTTATTTATGGATTAACTAAAGCCGTCCAAGACGTCGTAACACACGCCACCGCTAGTCCTTTCCGATCGTATTTAATATGCTGTTCAAACGAATAAGACATTGAACGGCAATTTTAAGTTCATTGTCAACCAATTTTTCAATAAAATCATCAAAGCTGATGTTAAAATTTTGATCGATTTTATTATCTGTGCATTCATCTGCCTCCTCCCACAACAATCGATTGTAGCTCGGATGAGTTTGTACTGGGTTGTTGTCCGATATGTTTTGTGAAGATGTCTCTATTGATCGTCGTAATGTTTGAATCTGTTCAATAACGGCTATATATTTCGGTTGTGTCAATTGTCGTATTTTATACTGTCGATCCGATACGAATTTGCCCAAAAGAAAACCTGAAAACAATAAATGAATTAATTACGATTCAATATGGTTGTAAAAATTTTTGGCACGATATTCAAACCATAGCTTACCAAGTATAAGTGTAAAAAATGATGCACTAAAGATCAAGCTGACGCACGTTCTTTTGCTTATATAGGTCCGAATATCGCGGTCGTCGTTGATTTGCATGGCTGTTTGGTAACTTAAAACATGATGCATTTCTGATTCATTAGATTTGTGTGATGTAGGTTTATTTTTTTGTGTGTCGATTAGTTTTTTTTTTTTTTTTGAAATGAAAGAGGTGCCAAGTGCATTAAAATTAAGAGAAATTCCATAAAATAGTCCAATATGTGCGAATAGTATATAAATTGGCTTACTGTGATCGATGTTGTGTTGGTATGAAGAAAAATATATTATAAATTTGTGCAATATGCGTGCAGTATGGTATGTGCGTGCTTGGCGTCACGTGCTTCTTGCTTCGAAAGTCGGTCAAATTGTTGGCATCGTCTACATTTTATGACTCAACTTAACTGCCATTCCAATTTGATAAACCGATAAATGTGGCAAGACAGTTATTAAAATGCCTGTGATAAATGAAAATTACGTTGAAATTTATTGAATCGCAACGATTCAGAAAAGTGTTTTATGTTCTAAGCTCCCCTCCGCAAGATAATCGGTTGATAAACAGAAAAAAAAAACAAATCAAAATGTTTGCCATTAAATTCATGGATGAACCAATACACAATGTTTTTGATGTTCATTATAGATATGAAGATGATTCTGTCTCTGTTTGGCTATTTCCTTCCTTCTTCCACGCATTTCGTTTAGTCATATTAAAATGATTTACTAACGCTCGCATATGACTTGAATTTTAGTCTATGAATTGCGTGCAAATTATTCGAATTTTTTCTTTATTTTTATCTCTCCCTTTCCATGTCGATTTTTTTGAATGTTTGTATGCGGAAAGTTAGTTGGTTTTTTAACATTTTATTTGGTTTTTTCTTGTCATGCACGACACTGAGTCAGTGGCACCAACAACGTATCCTAATCTCACACGGCATATGAGCATATGGCATTCTGCAAAAATGTCTATCAACAATTGATATTTTGCTATGGAAACTTGTCGAAATAATATTGATAATTTCTCTTTATGCTGTTGTCGTTGTTATTATTATTTTGAAATTTCTTTCGGATCGTTGTGCTTTGTATTTTTGCTGTTAATTCACATTTTCAGACAATAAAATCAAACGCAAAATAAGCGTATGTTTACACTGCCACGATGATAGTATGTGTAATTTATCGTTAACGAGACACACACACACATATATATATACAAGCAAAAAACAAAATATTGCGTGACATTTGAACATAAAAAAATCATGTATTTAATACAAAGTTGTAATCAGCATAGAGAAAAACTAAAAGTTCTAAACATTATTTACAAAATATATTGTAATATCTAATTTGGTTGTGCGATGCGATTGTGACAAAGGAATTTGTCGATTGAAATGAAACAAAAAGAAAAACCGTCGTTAAACAACATTTTACTATGTTTAGGATAAACAACAAAGTGGTATCAATAAAAATTTCATCAAACAAACAAAATGTATTACATTTTTATTTATTTTCCCCAGGGAGTCCAACAAACGATTTCGTTCAACTAATTAAATAACGAACACTACTTAAAAAAAACTATATAAGCACATATTTATGACTCAAACAATGCGAAATATTGCACATATTCGCAACAAATCAATGGTTAATGAGAATGTCGACAAACAACATTGAGGGCCAACCAAGACTTTGAATATTTTTTCCGTTAGTCTCTAAAAATATTTTCATTTTATATTTATCGAATTGCAAGCGAACTAAAATGTATGGTCAACACTCAAATCGATTGACACAAATCGAACAGATGTTATGACTAAAGTCTTGCAAACCATATGATCGTTATTTTCCTGTCACATTCTCGATCAACTGAGATATTTGTAGCGTCTGCTAAGTGTAAAACTTTAAAACAAGTTCAAATAACTTTTATTGGCACATACAAATCTTCACCAAATTACAATTTGAGTGAACAACGTTGAATGGTTTAAAAAGTGACTTCATAACCAAAGCGAAAAAAAGAGACGAGAAGTGCAATTGCACTTTAATTATGGATGTGTGTATGTGAATGACACACGAAAAAAACTACAAATAAATATTATTTTTAATGAAACAAATACTACCAAATACACAAACGAATGATACAAATCAAATTGAATATTGAATCTTTCAGAGTAATAACAACAAACTGATGATGAACTAAATATCATTTACTGAACAAATAAAATTCCAGTGATAGAAGCCAACAAAGAAAACGTGTTTAACCAATTTGACAAAAAAATATAAAAAAAAACGTCGAGAAAAGAATGAAATGAGAATTTTGAGGAAATATCGCCACTTTTTTTAAATTTTTGTGCAAAAAACAAACTCCAAGTTGAAATAAAATGCTGTTTGTATATCGATGTGATACTTACGTTTTATCAACACGAATAGAAAATTGTTACTGCTCGCATAGAATTGTTCTCCATGCAATTTTCCCCCGCGCGCGCAATACAACAGCGACTGTAAAGTGAAAAATTTCCATAGAACATCAAAAAGCATTAGCTGTTGATGCCATACAAACAACGCTTCATCACCAAACCAACGAAAGAACGAACGAGTGAGCAAAACGACCGAACGAATGAAAATAAAAATGGCAAACGAACGAGCAAGTATGTTCAACGCCTGCCTTATTATATTTCCATTTAGCTACTTTCACATACATATATAAATTTCTTTCTACATTTTCAATTTCTCAGCTCCTTGTGAGTTTGTTTTAAATTTGCTCCCGCTCTATAACTTACGAGACCATATTTCTATATTTATAAATTACATGCAAGCTATTTTTTCCCTTTCAACTGTGATTACTACATATTATAGTATATGCAATTTACTTGTGTCGGCGAGAAAGAAACGATAAATTTAAATACAAACCTGTTCATGACTCTTTTAACTGAAAATACGCTCTTTGCCTGCCACTAAAATGAAGAATGAAAATGAGGTAACATTAGTTTCAACTAAATGAAACACACGAATAAAGGGAAATTGGAAAAAGGAGAGAAAGAGAGAGAAAGAGGACAGGAGAGTGGAGGAGAGAGGTGGGAAATCTCCATATCTCGGAAAGAGTATTTGATTGTGATTTGTAATTTAACATCGCGCATACACTTTATACCAAGTGCGAATGGAGAGTTAGAAAAACTGTTGATTGAGTATGACAATGGCGAATGTATGAGAGTGCGTATGATGAATGAACTTTGCAATTTAATTGAGATGGAATGTGCTATGCAATCATGGTACTTTCAACCGACGAATTAATTGATCATCTGTCTCACAAAATGTTGCATTTAATAAACTTGGTGGCCACCGCATGAGTCCAAAGCTTTATGAATGTCAAGAAGCCCCCATTGATCAATCTACATGTGGCCGTTTGCGTGCGATGAATATTTGAATAGCTAAATAGTTTCTAACAGTCTCACAGAAAACGGAGACAAACGAAAAATTGAAGTTCAAGGATTTGCCTATTAGAACAACGAGCCCCGTCCAATCAATGAAATCTTATAGAGATTATTAAATGCGTTACCATTTTTCTTCTTCTGGATTTTCCAAAGTTAAAATCAAACGACCAAACTTATGGTGATACTAGTGAAAAATATAATTTTGAACTTTAATTTGAACTTTCCTTAAGAAATCAATTTGGCGGAAAAGCCGCACATCATTGAATTTCACATATTCCAAAAGCAATTCTAATTCCAGTCATCTCCTGTGGAAAATGGTTCACAATAGTCAAAATTTCGAAAATACATCGTTTAAGTGGTGAACAATGTATGTAATTGTAATTGATCGAAATTGTTGCGTTTACATTTCCATAAATTAATCACAAAATTCCAACTCAAAAGCAATTTTTCAAATGTGGCCGGAATAATTTCAATGGTCGAGACGAAATTAAATCGACGAAAATAATTAGGGAAAACTGTCGGTTTTTTTGGAAATTGGTAAAATATTTGATACTGGAGTAAGGCTAGTACACAACAAATGGACTTAAGAAAAAGTTGTATAGTCGTTCCACTTTTGTTCAATGCGAAATTGATACACAGATTGAGAATAAGTGCATAACGTGTTCATTTCATCGAATATATTTTCTACCAGCAGGTGTAGCTCCATTCTGTGGTTCTTCATATACATGCAAAAATTATTCAACAAAATTAAAAACATTGTGTAAAGGAAGACATTTGAATGGCTTTTTTTCGTGTACGGTTACCGTGTGATTCATGAAAAGTGAAACAAACGGTCACCCTCTTTATGCATACAAAAAAGCAAACCAACAACGAAATGCTTATACAAAGTTGTAGGTTTGGTTTATAATTAAATACACAATGTATTACAATATGTCAAAGCTATTACATTTTATAATGCATGCAACACATGTACTCTCTCTTGACTCTCTTCCTCTCCTTCTTACTCCTAGTTGCAATCATAATCTCTCTTTCTTGCGATCTCTCTCTCTCTCTCGTTCTGCCAATGAATTATAAGCTGTGTTGAAATGACTTCTCACCTGATGGTGAGTAAATCGATAAAATGCATTCAATTTTGTGTTACCCTCATCTATTTGATTTATTTATTGTGGTGTTTAATCGGATCATCCAAAAATAATGTTAGTCATTTTCAATAATTGTAGATCAATTAATAGCCATAATTTCAATTTATTGTGGCAGCACTTTTTACACCCTGAACCCATTCGACGAATTCATGTAATGCCAGTCCATTCCATTTCTTTGTAAATATGTCAACATATTTATGGATGAAACGATAGGCGAATAGGTGTTTACTTCGAACAAAAAAAGAACACGGAAATAACATCGTTCTTCGAATCCGTTGTAGTTATGGTTATATAAAAGGAATTTTTGAGGGAATTTCATATGTGGACGTGGGTACATGCATACAAAATGAACGGGGGACAAAAAAGAAACATTTCATATTCCATTCCATGGTAGATATATGATAATATACAAAAATAACACTTTCTCTGAACATGCGATTTATTTGAACTTTGCATTTCGTTTCAACAACAACAACGATTCTTCTGTTTACGTATAAATCAAATATTAAGGTAAAATGTGGAAATGTTTGACAGTACACACGAAAATGGAAAAAACAGAAAAATCAAAAATGATACGAAACAAAATATTTCTAGAAAATCAATTAAAATGGCATTTCGCCTGAATTCTTCAATATTTTTAGCCACACACACACACATATATAACCATCAATATCATATTGAAGTGAGTGAAATGAAATGAAATTAATCATATTTATTATAGAGCAGGAGAGAGGAAAGAAGAGAGAAAGGAAAAGAGGGAAGGATGTATGCAGATAGATGGAAATCGGTTGAAATCAACGAAACACCATTCAAATCGAACTGTTGTGGGTTTAAATCCCATTGATATATGAAATGAAGTGTCGATTCTGGATTATTTTCAACTGAGTTAATTATGTCTATAAAGCTTTGTACTAAATGAAAATTGGGGAAAGCAAAAGCGTTAATCAGATGGGCGGTGTTGGGGGGAAATTTCTTTTAAATAGAGAGTGCGAATACGATTGACGTGTAAATTAACATTTACATTTATTCCATTTTGTTTTATTACTCTTCGTTTGACAAAACAGTTGGCATATTATCGCTATCGTTTGTTAATGTTTCGCTACTGCCTCAGTCTCCTTTATTATGCTATTCAAATGTGTGGCGTTTCGAGTTTGTACTGCTGCGTGTATGCAATTATGTTACTTAATGTTTTGTTTCTATTTTTTGCTGAAATCTTTATTTCGGTCTAAAGCGAAAAACCGCATAGTAAAATTAATATGAATAGACGTAGTCACCAAACAAATCGAATGTGTGGCGGCCAAAAAAAAAATCAATAATGCACAATATTAGACAACTTCAATTCTTGGTCGTTGTATCACTCTGGTCATTCCATTAGAATAAAGTACCTACTTTCAAACTGATAATTAGATTAGCCTCGATTGTCGATCGGTAAGCGTATTTTATCTATGGTTTTATTTTGTGTTTGTTTAAAAGAGCATAGAATTACTTGTGTTTCATCACAGTGACCAACTAAGTTTCGACAAATGATGTAGATTTTCTAGTGTTGTTGTACAAACCGTTTGTCTTCCTCGGAATGCTATTGTAAAATTAAAAAAAAAAAAAAAATCAATCGTAAATTTCGTCGAATAATGATTGTGAATTACATGCCAATTATCCAAAAAATAGTCATGGTGAAAATATAAATTCAATGATTGCTTTTACTGTTAATTAAAAGTGAAAATAAAAAAAATCTGTATTTCTTATACTTTCAATTCACAAATGAGTTCCCAATCACAAGAGAATTTAATTCAATCAGATCCAGAAGCGGCAACCAACAGTGATGCACATGCTAATTCATATGATTCGCTTCCAGATGAGAAGGATTATGTGCTGACTGCCACCGAAAAGAAATTTTTATTAAGTGCCGAACGGGGTGATTGCGCTGGAGTGCGTCGGTAAATGCTATTGTTTAATTACGTTATTTTGTTGCCAATTAAATTTGATTAAAAAAATAAAAGAGAGATGTAAAAAAGCAGCAGACTGCTGTGTCATTTGTATCCTTTTGTTGTCGCATCACACTTAACACTTACATGTAAAACAACATTATGGATGTAACACAAGAAAAAGTCAACGAAAGCAGACAACTCACTTGTTGTACTGAAAATTGTATATATGTTCAGGGGATATAAAGTATCGATCATGAGTCAATTTATACACAAAAATTTAACAATTTTAATTTCATATTTCTTTTCCATCTAAATGTAGATTAATAGCTCAGCACAAAGATAACCCGACTGAGCTAAATGTTAATTGTGTGGATCCGCTAAATCGTTCGGCATTGATTTCGGCAATCGAAAATGAGAATATCGAACTTATTAAAATCTTACTTCAAGAAAATATCAAAGTTAACGATGCTCTATTACATGCAATCAGCGAGCAATATGTCGAAGCAGTGGAATTGCTCTTGCTACACGAAGAGACTCACCATAAAGACGGAGAACCCTATGTATTAAAGAAAATTTTGAGTTTTTTTTTTTCATTTCAAATAACAAATTTATAACGAATTCGTTTTATTCTTGTGTGTATTTGAAAGTCATGGGAATCGGTTGATAGTTCAGCATCAACTTTTACACCGGATATAACACCATTAATATTGGCTGCCCACCGAAACAATTATGAAATTCTAAAGTTACTGTTAGACAGAGGTGCCACACTGCCAGTACCACACGACGCACGATGTGGTTGCGATGAATGTGTTACATCAAGTTCATCGGATTCATTGCGTCATTCACAATCGCGTATTAACGCTTATCGGGCATTGTCATCCAGTTCACTAATAGCTTTAAGGTGCGTTCAACTTCATTTTTTGTTTTATTTCAAAAAATATAAAAAAAAAATCATTTTGCATTCACTTCGCATCTGAATTTGTTCCTTATTTTATTTAGCTCTTCCGATCCAATACTTACTGCCTTTGAATTATCATGGGAGCTTCGACGTTTAAGTCGAATGGAAACCGAATTTCGCACCGAATACAATGTAATGACAGATATGATTTTTTTACTGTGTATTTTTGAATAATTTCAGTAATGAACTATGCTATCGTGACGATTTAATTACAGGAAATGCGTCAAGCGGTTCAAGATTTTGCAAAATCTTTGCTTGACCATTCGCGTACATCACAAGAATTGGAAATCATGCTAAACTTCAATTCAATACCAGGCGCAGATGTCTGGGAACCAGGCGACCATCAATCGCTAGATCGATTAAAATTAGCTATCAATTACAAACAAAAACAATTTGTAGCACATCCATCGGTGCAGCAATTGCTTGCGAGCATTTGGTACGAAGGTAAGTGCACCAAACCATGGACTACATTTGCTGTAAGAAATAAAATAATATATTTGCCATTTTCCAACCTGAACGTTAGATCGATAGAATAACAATATAGACAAAAGTAAAATTATCTTGACATTCATGCAAAACTAAACATATGAATTATGTTGCATTGTACCACAGGTTTACCAGGGTTTCGAAGAAAAAGCATTTCCGGGCAACTAATTCAAGTAGCAAAATTGAGTTGCATGTTTCCAATCTACAGCACGATTTATATGATTGCGCCATCTTCTCAAATAGGAAAATTCTTGAAAAAACCGTTTGTCAAATTTATTTGCCATTCATCAAGCTATGCAACATTTTTACGTAAGTCAAACAGTAAATTTATGCATTATGTTTATATATTCGCCTTTTGCTGCCTGTCTAACAACTGGATGTTTCATCTAATAACTATAACAATTAAAAAAAAAAAAACAGTTTTACTTGGAGCGGCCTCACAGCGCATTGAATATTTGGCACTTGAATTTATTGGTACAAATTGGTCGCTTGACATTTTAGAAGATTGGAGAGAACATGAACGTGGCGCCATTCCTGGTCCAACGGATTCTTGCATCATAATATTTATCATAAGTATATATCAGTGTAATGGTTTATGATATTATTATTTGAAAAATATGTTTCGATGTATTCAGGTTTGATTTGGGGTGAAATTAATTCGCTGTATTCAAGCGGCATAGCTGATTATATAGGTGATCTATGGAATATAATCGATTTTATATCGAATACATTTTATGTTACATGGATTGGGCTTCGCATCACTTCGTGGTATGTTGTGCAAGTAAGTTCAATTGAAACCTGAACAATCAAAAGATCCACATAAATGCACCTGCCTATAAAATGGTTCAATTATCGTGGAAAAATGTTAAGATAACCAGCACTGTTCTTTTTTCTTTCACATGGTGCAGAGAGATTTGTCACTCGGTGAAGATCCATGGTATCCGCGCGAAGAATGGGATCCATTCGATCCAATGTTATTATCTGAAGGTGTTTTTGCGGCTGGCATGATATTTTCATTTCTCAAATTGGTGCATATATTCTCCATCAATCCTCATTTGGGACCGTAAGCAATTTATTAATTAAATTATTTATTTATGTTGAATTAAATTTTAAAAATTTTCATTAATTTTCTCTTTAAATTAAAATTGCCAAATTCTGAAGATTGCAAGTGTCACTCGGTCGAATGATAATCGATATTATCAAATTTTTCTTCATCTATACATTGGTTTTGTTTGCATTCGGGTGTGGTTTAAATCAATTGCTCTGGTACTATGCAGATTTGGAGAAGAAGAAATGCTATCATTTCTCAAATTCGGATATTGCTGATTTCGATAATAATGAAAAAGCGTGCGGAATTTGGAGACGTTTTGCCAAGTAAACGAGATTTGAATTGAACGTTTGATGAAAAATGATATTATTTTATCTTTCTTTTCTATGTTATAAAACATAGCCTATTCGAGACATCTCAATCATTGTTTTGGGCATCGTTCGGTCTTGTTGATTTGATGGCCTTTGAATTACAGGGCATTAAAAGTTTCACACGGTTTTGGGCGATGTTAATGTAATTTGTTTTTTTAATTTGTTTTTTAATTTGTTTTAAATTTTTAAAAACAACAAATTTACAGGTTTGGGTCGTACAGTGTAATCAACATAATTGTGCTTCTAAACATGTTGATTGCTATGATGAGCAATTCATATCAGATAATCTCGGTAAGTAACAAAGAATATCCTCATTGTGCTTGACTTAACAACAATCATCGAGATTACATTGGCATTTATGGTAAATATAGGAACGATCAGATAGCGAATGGAAATTTGCCCGTTCACAATTGTGGATGAGTTATTTTGAAGATGGAGGCACATTACCGCCTCCGTTCAATTTATTTCCAACCACAAAACTATTTCGTTTTGGCGATGCTAGAAGAACAACCAAAAGTCTTATCGTAAGTAATTACACATAGTCGAAGTATTTTGTACAGTGGCTCACAATGCATACATTTACGATGAACGAATAAATCCGTCGACCACACACGTATCGCCAGCACCGATATTCATTGCTTATTCGATTTGAAGAGAGCTTGCACTTACATTGACAAATTGACATGGCTTCTATCAAAATAAATACAAATGATTCTTCAAATCCATCGGATAAGCAATTTATTGGCAGCATTCGATATATTCGTGTTGGTTTTATACATTTTTTTTTTACTTCGTGTAGCTTTGTGTCTCTTTGTCTCTATTTTATATACGGTTTTTAACAACATTATGTTTGTTTGTTTCTTTTCGCCATAATTTGTTTACAGAAAAGGTCTCAAGATAAAGCTAAAAAGCGTCATGACAATGTAATGCGCTTATTGGTACGTCGCTATATAACAGCCGAACAACGAAAGCGTGACGACTTCGGTATTACCGAGGACGACGTTATGGAGATTCGTCAAGATATTAGCACACTACGATTTGAATTAATTGATATTTTCAATACGAACGGCATGAAAACACCCAATGTTAATCCAAGCGATGCACAATGTAAATGATACATTTGCCAAAATATCTCATATAACACTGCTGGCTCATGGATTTTATTTCAAAAAATTTCTTCTTTTTTTGTGTTTCTTCATTCTCTATTTCATAATTCTGTTGCGGTGAATGCGGTTTGCTGCTGGTTGAATTTCTGTAGTTGCTGGCAAAAAGGGCAAAATGATGGAACGTCGCATATTAAAAGATTTCCAAATTGGTATTGTTGAATCGATCAGCGAAGCAGTGAAAAACGCATCTGGCGACGTTTTTTCATCGATTGCTCAAGCAATTAATAAACGTTCCTTACATAGAAAGTACGTGATTTATTTGTTGAATGTTTGTGGCTTTTGTCGCGTATTCAAGTTTTGCTGAATGGTTGAGTTTTTTTCTTTATCTCTTTCATCTTGTCTATTTTATTGATTCAGCAAAAGCAAAAAGGAGGATTGGAATGCCATTGTACGACAAAATTCGGTTGTCAGAGATCCGATCGGATCAACACGAAATTCACTAACACGTCGCGATAGGCGCAGTCTGCGACGTCGTATTTTGGAAGAGGTCAATCAAGGACTTAAAATGAACACTCAAAAAATTGTTGGTAAGTTACCAGACATCACATTGTCACAATGAAATGAATCTAATTCCACATCGATGTCGTTCTTTTCTTTTCTTATAAATATAAAAAGAATACAATCCAAAATTGTCGGAAGCTAAACCAAGCACTCGAGTTGCATATGTTAAATTTATGGCGCCCACCATGCGAAGAGAAAGTAATGCCGAAAATAATACGGCAGAAGTGGAATCAGGTGCAAAGCAACAATTGCGTAAATCAATACTTCGAACGGTTTCAAAAACTAGCATGGTATTTAATTAGATAAAATTATGTAATCATTACAAAGTAGCTACGGCAAAGAACTGTTTTTTCCAGTGGAATTGCAAAGAATTAGCTATTCCGGTTCGGAAAATTCAGCTCAACAAAAGTTAGTCGTATTATTAATTTTTTAATCTCAATTTTTCGATACTTTTCTTAGGATTCAAAACCACAAAGTGAACAAAAAGAAGGTTTGAATGTATTTTTGTGATTGGATTTTCCGTTTCGTTAAACTTTTTTTTATTATTTTATTATGAATTACTTTAGAATCGACAGATGATGGAAAACAAATACAGGAACCCTCCGTTGAACAAAAAGTAGACATAGATAAGAAACCAGAAAACAATAAAGAGAAAGTCGAAACATCGACATTGTCTGTCGAGTCAGATAATAGTACACAATCAGATAATGTGGCGTCTGCCATGACCAGCCGAGCATATTCACCAATTATTGAAGATCCAAATGAAAGAGATAGCCGTCCACCATCGACTGATTTAGTTGAAAGTGGTGGTTCGCGAGCATCTTTGCCAATGACATCAGCATCACCAGTTCCAGACCAATCTCGAACTATGTCACCAATATCGGGTTCTTCACGATCACGAACACCAGATGCTTCTATGCCAGATAAAGCAATATCATCCAAACCGACTTCGCCCACTCCGGTAGAACGGACAAAAGTCGATGAAAAAGTTGACGATACGAAATCCACAGTTGAAGCAAATACACCGCAACCAATTTTCAAACCCCTTACAACGGAAAAGGGTAAATCGAAAACAACTGGAAAAAGTATTGGCGGTTGGATTTAAAGTAATTTATGCCGAATTCTTTCTCTTTACAAATGAACAAATTAAGTTCTCACCGTGTGTAGAGAACTATTTTTCATTTGACAATATGAAAAATAAACGATTATTTTAAATTACAGCGAAATTTAAATTTAATATAATTGAAGTTGGATTTTTTTTAATTCCCTAGGGGGTAGACACAAAAAAGAAAACTAAAAAAAACTAAGAAAAATTAAGACTTATCAGGTCCTGCCAATGTACACGTTATATGCAATTTACTAAAAAAAAACTAAGAAAAATTAGCAATACTAAAGCCCGTAGTTAATTCCACGATTTAAAATTAACAGTAAATATTAATAATCGCTAGTTTCAATATCATTTTCGATAACAATAGTGAAAATAAACTGCAAATTTACTTGGAAGTAATGTTTGAATGGTGTTATTTCATCAGTAACAATGAATAAATTATTACTATTTAATTATTTAGATATCGTCAAGTGTTTTTGTTTTTTATTGTAAAGAAAGAAAAAAAAAATACATCGAATTTAGTTGTTTGAAATGTTGAAATTAAAAATATTCCACCAAACGAATTTTGTCTGTTTCTGTTTTAATTATTGCAATATTGAACATCTGAAAATATATTCAACGTTGTGATCAGATTGACTTTGAAAGGATGTAAACATCATCCAGCTGAGGACATAATTGAGTTCATTTGAATTGTAATTTCTGGTGCACACAGAAATGATGTCGATTCTATTTTTAGCAAAGCTGGCAATGAGGTCTTTGAAATCAGTTACCTACGATGTGAGTGTTACCTCATGTTGTGTGCTTTCATGATATCATTTATCGAGCGCAGCATCATGTTGAACAAATGATATTCTTTATTTAGTTTTATTTTTCAATGTCTTCAGGCTATTCATGGAATAACTTGGTTCTCAGTTTTATAACCTGTTGCGCACTACACCCCGGCCGGATATTTTCTTTAGCGTTCAAATTTAGCAATTGATATTAAAATAAAATTGAACTGAGACCAGTTAACACTGTGAATATTATTTTTCATTAAATAAAAAAAAACTTACGATTAAAAAAGGAATCATTTGAAAATGGTACAATGTGGGTGAACCACCTACTGCCAAGGAGACACACATTCCAAATTCTACGCACACATTCCAAATGCACGCGAAGGAGACTGTTTATTTCCTAAGTGAGCAGGATTTTGCATATAATTGGCCTTGCCTATGAGATATCGGAATAAGTACAACAACAAAAATAGTAAGTCAAACAAGGACAATTGACGTCAATGCCACCACACTCGGTACGCCAATATATGACGAACAAGATGCAAAATCCTGCTCCGTTCGCTCTTTTTGGGAAAAAAAGTATTTATATCGAAGTCGAAAAAAAGGAATGTCGGAGAAGCAAGATTGATGCTGTGAATGGCATCATTGCCAATCTGATATGTTTTCGATGGCATCATGTTCTTTATCCTGATTTAGCTGGAAGCAAACGTAAAAAACACATCAATTTAACAGTGTGATTTTAAATATGAACACCACTGGTGTGGATTGAATAAAATTGAAGAGAAACAAAAAAAAAACGCACACATAAAGTTGGCGGTTGGTACTTGGCTCAACATGTACTTATCTTGATACCTGATTAATGATTGTCATGACTGTGTGTGGTAGCAAATTTATTTTCATTTTTTTTTCTCTTATCTTTTCCATTCTCTGTGAAAAGTTCCCTCAAGGGGTTTTCCGAATGTCATCAAACTATAAAAGGATGCGAAATTGGTTGATTTGAAGTCAGTGAATAAAGTGAAATCGAATTGAAAGCATCCAATACCATTGGAATCAAATTTTGAATAATACATTTTACTTATATAAAAATCGTGTTTATATCATTGCTTATCGTTCACAACTCATGATCTAAACGTTGTTCAACACAGTAAAGAAAATAAACTAAAAATAATCAACAAAATGACCTGTTTAGAAAATATTTTTGTAATCTCAACTTTGTTCATAGTATTAGTTACGATCCAAGCAACCAAAGCGGAAGGTAATTGCAAATGTTTCAATTATTGAAAAAAAAAAGTGAATTTTTGCAAGTGAAAATGTCAAAATTAAGTTCATTCAAATATAGCACGAGAGAAACTTTATGTAGCAAAAATTGGTTCACTCTAGATAAAATTATGTTTGATGTTTGTTTCTAGAAAATTACGACGAAACATCAACTTCGAAAGAAATGTGTATTAAACAGTTATTCAAAGAAATTTTCAAAGTTATACGAAAAAAGGACAATAAATGTAAAACTGTCTGTTTGAATTGTTTTTTTTTTTTTCTAAATAGAAATTGATGCGAAACGTGGACCTGCTATTCACACACTTACGCCAACACCACGACGACGAAGTGATCCAGAATTTTTGAAATGGGATAGCGAGGTGAACGCCATGTTAGATGATGATTATGAAGGTAATTGAAAAAAAAAACATGTATTGATTATTTCCCATTTTTGCGTCATAAAGAAGACTAACTCCATTAGCCAATATATTGGCTGCAATGGAAGTGGTTCATAAAATATTCACATCAATCGCAATGAAAATGGGAAAACTCTTTATTTATCGATTGATTGAAATCTATTTTTAATATTGATGGCCGCTTTTTCTACATAGGTGTGCGGTTTTTCAATTTGTTTTCAACTATTTTAATATTTTATTCAAGTTTTTGTGTATTATTTCTCTTTTTATTGTTGAAAATGCAATGCAGGTACTGAGTACGCTGGTAATGAATATGTTCGGCCATATTTTGGATTTCCACGGATTTCACGATCGGGCGGAAGATTCTATTCGAAACTAGGCGAAGGCTCACAGGAAACTATTAAACGAGGTGGACCCGGGGGCGCTGCCGGTATGTGGTTTGGCCCTCGCTTAGGTCGTATGCAAAAACGAAGTCCAACCAAAGAACATATTTAAATTCACATTCCAACACGCGTCACATTAGATCCATTTATATATTCACCAAATGCCAAAATTTCAACATTCCCATAATATTATTGGCATTTCGTAATTTTCGTTAAACATAATGACCATACACAGAAGAATTTACATAACATTCACATGTCTATCAAATGCATCTAGATTAATCCATTGAAAATTGATTATTCCATATAAATGTGAATGAAACACAATTTCGGTCCTCTTTTGCGATGTGCATTATAATGTTTGCAAACACAAAAAAAAAATATTACACAAATAAAAATTTATTAATACAAAATGTCAATGCAAATTACAAATAAATAAGATAAATTAAAAAAAAAAGAAGACGAAAATAAGATTGTTTCAAACCAATGTTACAACATTGTGAAAATTAAGCAACCCATTGCATATGCATTGATTTATGCCAATGAAAAAATGTTTGATTATTTACAAATTTTTGGCTGGTTTTGAATTTATTGGTGAAGAAATATAAATTAATGACCAATGGTATTTAATTGCCAATAAATTCAAATAAAAATTTGTTGTTTTTAACGAATATTGGTAATGAAATAATCTTGAACAAACATTGTTATTTGTGATGTGTATTAATGATGTATCTTTTAAACACACTAAAACAAAATAAATAAAATTGTCTATATTCGATAAAATATGATATAAAATTTGCATCATGTTTTTTTTTTGACGAAAAGCAATATATTCCTTTAAGTGGAGAACATTCAACCCATTTATATTCACATCGAGCGCTCCACTTACACATGGGGATGCATGTAAAGCTTCCAATTTTATCGTGAAAAATTCACAAAAAGCACCACAGTTTCCACTTTTATGTCAACGTTTATTTTAGTTTATTTTTTTTTACAAACAAGCCCTACAAAACTTTTCTTAAATTTCGATACATTTGATATTGGATGAAAAATAGGATTTAAATTTAACGAAAATTCATTCAAAAGTGACTTCATACATTCATAAGATACGTGATAGTTGTTCGATTTGAGTGGATAGGTCATCTATGTTATCTCTTCTATTCCGGTTTATTTTGTGGTGGATTTAATTGATTGGGAGAAGGATTTTCGACTGACTTATCACCACTCGTTGGACGAATCTGAAATTTATTTAAAAAAAAAATGTTTTTGAATATCACAATTATTTTGATTGAAATATTTTTTTAAAAAATACCACTGTTGATCCGGTCCAGGCACCTTTTGAAGTGATAAGAGGTTCTTCAGGAGCCGTTTTTGGGGCCATCATTGCTGTAAAAGGACGATATGGTTTTGGTGACGATTTCGTTACCGATGTTGAGCTAAAAGAAACAAGGTCTAAGTCATATTTTCCCTCAAATTTTTTATCGAATTGAACGCATTACTTGGGATTATACATGTCTGCTGACTTGCCTCTCACATCTTTTCCAATTAAAATTTCGGGAAATTCTTCTTTCGTTATGGTTTCAATGGTATGATATTCGGTGGTTTCAATCGAATACAAACTGATGGCTCCCTCCAATAAATCCTCATATCGATGTTGTGTATACAATGGATCGCGGTGAAGCTTTGCTCTCTCTATTTAAAGAAAAAAAACAATATTCAAGTCATTCAAAGTAAAACGCAATCAAAAACTTTTGCGAATGACATCGCTGTCAAATACAATGAAATTTAAATGAAAAGCAAGCACTTACCTTGCTCCTCAAGCCGCTTTTTATGATATTGCCATGCTATGGGCCCAATCACTCCTGGATCAGCACCATCGCTACGAGTTCGTGTCAAATATACAATTTCATCATTTTTCTTATCCATTGGCATTGTTGTTGTTGGTTCGTGCTGTTGTTGTTGCTGTTTCTGTTGCAATTTCGGTGGTGGATTTTTTGCTTTGGCGTCAACGATTCGTGGTAGTTTGGATGCTATTGTGGCTGCTGCCGTAGCTTCGATTTCATCGTATTGATCTAATTGTGTATCTTTAGCCGGTTCAAGGACACGACTTAATGGTTCAGGTACATTGCATTTGGGAAAACTTCGAATTGATGCCATGCTTAAAAATGATCCAATGCTCAAGTCATCGTTTGCTGTATGCACTTCATCGTTTGACAATTGATTTGATAAACGATCCATTTGTATCTTTCGACTATCGTCTGATGAACGATTCGATTCTTTGGCAGGTTTGTTGTCCGTCGCTTTTTTCGATCTATCGTATGCGGATCGTGTTCTAAATGCAGTCATTTCGTTTTTCGTATGATTGACCGTATCGTTTTTATTTTGTCGTTTGCCATCACGATGCGCGTTACTTGATACGCGTTTTTCACTTTCGTTTGAGATTATCGTTTTTGTTTCATCATTATTCATTTGTTTCATTGATATGATTTGATTATGGAGATTTTTCCTTTTTCCAATCATCGGATTGAACGCTTCAATGTGTTCGTATACATTTGAATCTTTTCCCGTCGACATTTCGAATGTGTCATCGCTACCGTTGGGTATTGTTTCCATATTTCTGACACCACCGCCACCACTCGAATTGCGTATTTGTCTGCATTCATCTGGTTGTTTTTGTTGCCGTTCTGTTTTACCGGCCGTTGATGAGCTGCGTGATGAATGTACCTGCACGGTCTCTTCGAATGCACCGATTCGATTGCCATTGCCACTTTTCAAATATTTACGTTTATGTTTTGACTTTTTTTGCGCGCGTTCAATTTGCTTTTTTGTTATTGTTGCATATTCACGATGATTTAGTGATGCAACACGTTTTGGTCGTTTTGCATACAAATGATGGCTTCGTCGATTTTTATGCTTTTTTATGTAATATATGGATGATGTGTCTGATGTTGACGATGATGATGACGATGATTGAGTTTGTGAATGACTTGGCGAAGATGGTTCTGAAGACGGTGGCTCCGGAAAATAGATGGTTGGCGTTCCAACTTTTTTATGGTGTTTACGTTTGAGTGGTGTTGGTATAATTATAAAACTGTGATCACGTTCACAGGCAAATCCATCGACTGTATCATGTAATGAAGTTATTTGCGTGCCAACTTGTTTCTTTTGTCGTATTGTATTCGAATGTCTGCTCGGAATTTCACTCGTCATGTTTGAGCGAAATTGATGGCTTTCATCGATGCTCGGCATATGTCCGATTGTAGTATTGGCATTTGACTGCGGTTGCAAATGTGGTACTGATACTGGCACCGGCGGTAAAAACGATTGCTGCGCTGTTTGTGCCGCCTTCGAAACTCTGACACATTTACGAAGAGAGAGAGAGAGAAAATAATACATTATTACATTTATATTTCAATTTTTATTGCTTCATGTGGTATTAGTTATTTTGGTTTTGGTTTCGCTTTCATATCAGTTACCCTTTTCTTTTCGTCCCTGATGCTGTTGTTGTTGTGCGCTGTTTTTTCGAACCAGTTATCAACATCAATATCATAAGTAACAGTATAATTAACAGCAGCAATGCACCAATGAACGCCAAAATGTATGGATTTTGGAAAATCATCGCCAAAATGGGTTTATTTTGATTTGTGGTCATTGTAGATGAGGGTATCAGCGGTGTTGCTTGTGGCTCTTTCAAATAAGCTAAAACAACAAATCGAAATGCGATCCGTGCATCAATCATAATATGTTGTGAGTGCATACATTATTTTTTTTTTATTCTAATTTAAAATTGATACATACGTTCGGCCTTGGTGAAAATGGATTTCTCTAATATTTTCGAAACTTCTGTGTCGCTCATCAACTTCATATCGTTGGCTGCGATGGTTGCCAAAACTGGAATACCATTTACAAAGACCGTGTAGATAATTTCGGTTTGATTGTCAGCTGACGTGACTGCATCGGAAGAGAAGTTATAGCTGTCATGGAGAAATTTATTTTTAGTTCAAACACAACTAAAAATGCCATTCGATCATATGATGCAAATTTATTGTATATATAGATTTACCCTTGTGCTGGATTAGTCCATTCCTTTTCCAAATTATCCAAATAATCTCTGTCAGCATTGCTTATCACAGATATGTTGTGTATTAGAACGCTAATGTGACCAATGATTGCATCGTTTCGATTTTTCTTTGTACCTCTTGGCGTTGAATTTTTCGTATTTGTTTTACCAACATTGTCGATGGGTGCATTTTGTAAATGGCTTGATTTGAAATTGGAATTGGTGGTATTGCTAAAATTCGATTGTGTTTTCGCATTGGTTGATTGAAGAAGAATTTCGGTTGAATTATGTTGCTGTATGTTGGATGGTATCGGTGCAATTGGTGATGGTAAAATGGAAGACATGGACCGTTTGTGTCGATGACCCTCACTATGATTCGCTTGCATTGTCAATGTTGTATCAATTGTTGTGTTTGTCGTTGAATTTACATTTTCATCCGATAGTGTTTGATTTTCCAATGTGGCTTGTATCATCGATACAATCGATTGGAAATTGGATACAGTTGGCTTGGGAATTGCATATTCATATTTCAGAACTGATGTCGAATTAATTGGCAGTGACGAATTTGTACTTTGTTTATTATCTATGATTGGCGTTGTATCAAGTGAACCGTTGGCAAATGAACTGTTGCCGATGGCACCGCTGCCACCGGCTATTGGTTCGTCCGAATTTTCAACGGTGACATTCAATAAACCTAAGTGCAACGATTGTTGTCTGTGTGAAATGTTAAACCGAATATTAAATAAAAATTCATCGTTTCTGGGCCGGTCCGTTTTCTATCTACGCATTGAAAATTGCATTGGTAAACAATTTATTTATAAATACCTCATGAACGCAATCCGATAAATATCGGCTAGTTTTTGTTGTAGCTGTGGGATATCATCATCGTTTAAGTAACCATGAACCCTTGTGACGAGCCAAAAATGCTTATTTACTGGCAAATAGTCGTCGGGTATTTCATTTGAATCCGTATCGCATTTGTCCGAATCACAATCTGGATCTTTTCCATTTTCATTCTGTCAACAACAACGATAACACAAACAAACAAACAAAACACCATGAATTATTGAACCCAGCAGATTTTGAAATAAAAAACTAAGATCGATCGAGCAAAAAACAAAATGTAACAAATAAATTACCGAATCATCTATGTAAACAGTAGCAATGACAGTTGCTGTTTTGATGAATGTTTCGCGTCCAACAAACCCGTTAACTGCCGTCAGGCGCGCATTCGATTTCAATGATAACGTTAATGGTTCGTCTCCTGATCCATTCCAAAAAAAATCTTCAAACCGTATGTCATGCTCCGATGCGTGTATACTGCTAACCGTATTCACGTCTGATAATAAAAATAAAATAAAAACAAAAGGTGAACACATACACCAACAATCAATCCGTGCTTATTATTAAATTGATAAATGTGTCAACATTAAAACTTTTTATAGACGTTCTTTTTTTCTCCGATTCGTGCAACGTCAAAAAATACTCTTATATTGGCGCGAGAGAAAAATCCAGTCAACGCCACGCTAGAAAATCCGATAAGAACATAAGTTGAGCACACTTTCGAGAAGTTACCACATTACAATCATTATATTTTTGGCGCAAAATGCTGGTGTATTTCATTTTCATGTTTTTCGTTTTCTTCGGTTTTGTGTATGATTTGATTTTTGCATGGTGCTCAATTTACGCAGGTGGCAAAGCAAAGTTAAGTGAGCGTTGCATGTTTCACCAAAAAGAGCTTCATGTTTTGGCACCAAAGTATTGTGAATAAGAAGTGCACTTTTTTTTTGTTTGTACAAGCATATTTTGAACACGCCAAATGTGAAACCAAACAAATATCTTGTTCAAACACACTTCAAACAACGAAACCAATGCATGAAAAAGTCAATGTTGCCATTTATTCTGTTTCTTTCTCTTGCTCTCACTTCGTTCGGTTTTTCGTTGCGTCGACGACGCTTTCTTTCATAAATCCAGAATTTCGTTTAATATTCAATGCACTGTACACTGTGCACTGCATTGCTATTTATTGAAAATCATGGTTTGCGTGTTTAAATGCTTGTTTTTCACCTTTGGATTTTGCAAAGTAGTCTTTTTTTCATTACATCGATATCAATTAATGAAAGAAAAACTAAAAAAAAAGAATAGTAAACGGAAAATGGCATAAAGCATGTTCAAGATGTCATTAAATGCACATTCGTGGAACATAAAAGAGAGTGATAAAAAAAAGATGGTGTAATATGTGTTCATATGAAAAATGTAAAATATGCGAATCAAAACATGCATCCAGCGGAAATGATACCGTTCGAACTAAAATCGCATTTATTTCAACATTTTTGCATAGATTTTTTTTTTGTTATAAGCAACGACACCAACAGCTCGACTTAAACGGTTAGCGTACTAAAGCATAACGTTTTTTCCCTTACATTCAACACATTGATTGAACGAACTGTTACCTGTGGTGACAAAAAAAAATTCTTTCAAAGCAATACTTAATGTTTCAATACTAAATTGACAAAAATTGGATATATTCGTATAAACAAACAAACCAAAAAAAAAAAAACGCGCGCGCACAAATACACACAGTAAATATCCATTTGAATTGGTGTTTGCGTTGCAACTCATGTGTGAACGAATGAACAAGTGTCTGTCGTTTGTCGTGCACTCGTTCGTCGTTTGACCACCAACTTTTTCATGATTGTTACACTAAACACAATAATATAATCACATGCAAAGGTAAAAAATATATAAATTGAGACAATACCACACATGCTAAAATGTGTTGCACGATAAAACTACAAAACAACAACGAGATTCTATTCTTTTGTTTGGTCATTCGAAAATAACAAAAATAATATGTGGCAGAGACACAAAAGAGGCGAAAATGATTTGTATTCGGACACGATGAAATACCGAATCGTCTGAATAATATTTTATTGTGTGCTTGCGTTCGTGTTGTGTTCATTTTGTCGCATTTGGCTCAGATTTCATTTCATTTCAAATTGCGCATTTCATGTGCTCCAGAGAGTTTTGACGGAAATAAAATTTAATAGTGCATAACCGCACAATTCTGGTTTTGGTGTAATGCCTTCCAATTCAAAGCACATAAACACAATGAATGGATCCACATCGGGACCGGGAATCATATGCAAAAGAATTTACCTATTCCACTCGATAGTTATAAGAACGTTTTATAAGTTTAGTGGATCAAATCAAGTAACATGCACACAAAAAATTGTGACATTTTTAAAAATTAATAGCTTGAAATGTTGCTTCTGTGGCCACATATAAAAAAACACACGCACCATATTACTAAAAATAGGAGAAAAAGCTATTCTATTTTTATGTGATTAATAGTATATAGAAGAAAAGTTCATCTCAATTTATATGTAAATGATTTAAAAATTTAATCAAGCCTAGGCAACTGTGCTCTTCCTGTCGATTTCAACTCATTGAAATGGTGTGCAGCGCCAGTTGGCACACACACAAATTATTTAAAGCAATGTGATAGATAAAAACACGCTAACAGGCGTCCAGATCGTTGATATCAAATTATGTATAGTTGTATCCATCAACATGTAGAATCATTTTGTTTTTTTCATTTGCTTCAATGTCTGTCGACATATAATATGTTTAAGCGTATATAAATATCGATATGTACGTGGCATTTATTGGTTTTATCGTATATGCAAAGGTGCAATTGAATATATAATGCATGATTGATGAATAAATCGAATTATGTTAAATCAGCGTGATTAGCGTGCTAACAATAGTAAAAAAAAATTAATGCCCATCTGATCATTGCAATGAAAATTGATGATAGTCGGATTGGGAAAAATAAAACAAAAACATTATAATCGAATTTTTTTTTACCGTCCAATGATGGAATATAGATAACCGATGACGGTTTGGATTGTTGCTTCACAGGCGATGGTGATATCACCGGATCACTTTTTGGTGTGCTGGCATCAATTTTTAACGATGTTGTTTCCACAAAACCGCAACAATTTATAAGCAACATACAAACGCATAACAATGCTAAATAATATTGGTGACATCGACAACTGATCGAAGCATCGATGTCAAATAATAAGATGAACATATTGAAACCGACCAAAAAATGTTTATCGTTCCAATTTCATACACATTCATTACAATTTCGGTTATCGTACGATTAACCGTTTTCCCACTCATATAATCTTTAAACTCGTTGACAATTGAACCACAATTTACATTACAAGTAAGCACAACTATCACACTCCAAACGTATATTTTATTCGATTCTTATAGAATATGGTTTAATTTTGGCATAATTCATGATTTATTCTCGCTGCTTTTTGTCTACTTCGAAAATATTCGTAAATCGGTTGCGTTGCAAAACGTACAAACAAATAATATTAACAAGAAAGAAAAAAAAAAACAACAACAAAACCCGCCCGAAAAGTGTATTTTATTTTTGTTTTGAATTTTATTATCACTGCACCAATTATAAAATGTCAAATTCCATTACGAATAAATTATTGCGCAGCAAATTAACAATAATTTGCAAATTCAATCGATTCATTCATCTATTCAGCGTCCAACATAATCATATTGAATTCAGATTTATTCACTTTAACAATCGCAATGGAAATTATTTGATTTGGTAGTTGTTTTTTTTTTAATGCATCTATTTTCCCTGTGAGATTTGAGCCCTTTTTATCTTTTTGCTAGTTGAATTTAAAAAAAAAAAACACTTTAAATTTAAATATGATACAATGTTATATTATAACGATGATAATTGTGGATTCTGCGAATAAATAAAACTAACAGAACGACAATGAGAAACGAAAAAAATTAACCGGGAAAAATAAACGAAAAACAAAAATTTATTGCACTTGTTCACGTCAACTGCACACAACGCGTTTACACTTCGTGTGTATGTATGCGTATGAGTGAATGGGTTCGGTAAACCAAAGCGATCGCATCTGAATATGACTTAGAAGTGGAAGGAGCATTTAAGAAACACACACTTTTTGACCGATTCGATAAATTTTGTTGTTGAGTTCATCGGTTGCTATAACTACAATGTTTTGGTCGCGAGGTAACAGCGGTCATACCGAAAGGTCTGCCGATGAATGAATGCGTCTAACTATATTATATATCCACAAACATTGGTATTATCGTTTAAATGGCACACGGAAATGCTATACACATGCATATATTCACATCACTCGCACTGTTTCTGTTTACAACCGACACAACTGTACATGCTGAACTCGTGCTATGCTCGTCATTTTGCTATTCATTCGGATGGTATTTAGTGTCACCTTTCATTAATATTTCATTCAGTGATCTAATTATTGCAAACGAAAAAGCACAATACGAACAACCAACACACATGTGCCCTTTCGTTAGAGAGATACTTATATTGATGCGCATTCTTTTATTTATTCGTTTGATAACTTGATACCATATAATTTATTTTATGTTCTTTCTCTTCGCTCCTTGTAGCCATTCTTTTTTTCAAATTCTTAATATCTCTGCCATTCTCACCAAAAATGCTTAGTCGATTTTTTAAGTAAAAAAAAAACAACAACAACAACCGTATAACAATTACTTGCTTTTGTGTTAACGATTGAATGAACGAAACGATTTAACGAAACGATTGTAGCACCTGTTTAGCTATTGTGAAATGGATTTTGAAGAGGGTAACTTAAATGATAAACGAACAGCTCCATCTACATGCCGCTTTTTTTCTCTCGATTCATGCCAGCACAAAAGCAACTAATATTTGTATCAGTGACTTGAAGCATTTCCCCTTATCGTGAAAGCCAATCATCAAGTGCAATACGCTCCATGTGTAATTTTTTGTTTTCCTTCTATATTTCCATTTTCTGTTCCATGCTCTGTTTGGTGTGTATACTCTGTATGTACCATTCAATCCATGAGCTTTGCTCCGCTCTCCGTTTTTTTTTTGTTTGTATTCCTTCACTATTTTGGTTGGTTCGCCATGGGTATAAATTTTCCAACTTCGAAAATTGTTCATTCAGTCATAGCCGAGATTTTCGTTAGTGTGCATTACCACAGTATATATCTCTGTTATCGTTTGTACAAAAAATTTTTTGAACGAACGTGCGAAACGGTTGACAATCGCGCATTGACTTTTTCGTGTGATATGCGAAAGGAAGATACAGTGAAAAATCGCTAACAATTGAAAAATCAAATATACTTTTTTTTAAGTAAATGGAAATCGTGCAATTGATTTCAAATGATTTGGATTTAAGAAAGAGATAGAGTGAGACAGAGTGAGCGAGTGAAAGGCATAGAAAGAGAAAGAAAGACAAAAAATTAAATTTCCAAATAAATAAAATTTAAAAATCCGACAAATTCATTCGCTGAGAAAAAAAAAACAAATTATGATCAAAAGATATCATAGATACTGCTACTGTATTTGTTACAATTCGCAAATGCAATTGAAAATCGTTCTTTGCTTGCGGTCAAAATAGATAATTTTGAATGCGTATTACAAACTGACATTTCGTGGTCATTAAAACACTGGGCTTGCTTGCTGTTTCATTGGTTCATTATCTCTTGCATCACTTTTCATTCTTTCTTTTGATCTCATTTCAATACAAACGCACACATAACCACCTGACCCATGGTTAGCAAAATTGTGTGCATTTTCACGTATAATGAAAATAAATGAATTAGATGCATAATTCATGTTGATAAATTTATCGGCCCGACCGCAAAATATTTACAATATTATGTGCAAAAGAGCAAATGTGAATCAGAAACCAAATACATATGTGTGTTTTTATGTGTGCAAAAAACAATCAAGTGTTTGTCAAAGAAAAAATCTATGAACACTGGTGTTAAATCTGTTAAAATAGTAAAATGCATCAGAGTTGAGGTCATGCATGAATGTCAAGCCTCAAATTGGCAGTGCTCAAATTGCTAATTTAAAATATTAAACTTTAAAATTACTGACTCACACCATCTGTTCAATCTAATAATTTAAACGAAAATGTCATCAAATACAATAATTATTACAAATTCGTGAATAAGCCGTTTGAGTGGAGGACAGTGTGAGACCGGGAATTCGTTTGAAACAAAACAATAATAAAAAAAAATCAACAAACATCGAATGCGCATTTTTATTGAACCAATAATTGTGAAACGATCTGAAAGTTTTAATTGAAGCGTTAAAAAAGACATTCCACCCGTATAATTATCCCAACCCTTTAACTAAATTATACACCAATTAAAATCTCGCATCGGCTTTTGTCCGCGCAATCATTGATTTTTCGTTTAAAACGAAGAAGAAGAAAAGAAGTAGAACATTATATTGAACAATTGAAGTCTTTCAAAAGATAAAGTGCAAAATTAACACTTTCACTTGCCAAAGGTTGAAAGAGGCGGGTACGGTAGTGAAATTGTGTGATTTTCAATCAGAATTATCAATATTATCGTGTATTTGTGAGCAAAGACAAATAAATATACCCCGCAATCATGGTCAGTCATTAATTTAATTACATTGGTTTTTATTTTTGTGGTGTGTTTTTCTTTTACGTTGAAAAAGCGCACGTTTTTTTTCTCTCCATCTCTATTCATTCGTAATTCGTACTTTTTTATACTTTTGCCCATATCTTCGTGTGTGTGTGTGTATATTGTTAAATTTGCCATTTTCGATTTATACTTTTTCTGCCTTGTTTGTAACATTACTAGATATGTCTATAAACAATGAAAAATACTTTTCGCGCCTAATGACCTTTCACGCTTTTCCGCGCGCGATTTTTTTTTTCTAATTATGCTATTCACATCGTGACCAATGTGCAGCCCATTTATTGTAAAGCTTCTAAAAATAGCATAACTGTCGGTTTCATTGTTTTGACAATGAAAACCAAAACGGAATACCAACAAACTATTTCGAAACTAGCACATTAAATGAAAAAAAGGTGTCTGAAGTTTTTTTCTTGCGCTATTCTATTAAAGACTATGAACTCATTTGTGACAATTCTATATTGTGACGCAATAAACAAAGTCATTAGGGCACAAGATAAATGGCATTTGATCGAACATATTGGATCGATGAAACCACAATGATGACATTACCGGTCGATATATGGTTGCATGTAAAAGCCAATGTGCACCCTTTTTTTGTTCAAATGAATTTTCACCTAAAATGCGGTGTATCTCTTCATTAAATCAGGCGATATGCTACTTAAAACTTTTTCTGTAATTGAAATTAACTATTTTAGAGTATTATGGTAATCAATGAAAAAAGGACATTTTTATCAACTTCTGCCAAAATGAAATTCAATAAAAAAAACATCAATTTTTGTGAAATGAATTATTTGTGCAAATTTCGAAACGATAAATCCATTTAACTACCGACTTTCAAACCAACCCAAACGATATTCAACTCTAAATACAATGGACGATGCGACACATATTGTTTTAATTCCGCAGGGAAATTCAAAGATATCTTTTTTTTCGTGGGTTCTCTTCAAAATACAAAATATAATGGGTGTGTGTATCGAAAAGGAAAATGAGAATTCACACAAACCATATATGATTGTCCGAGAATGAATGTGAGACTTCTCCTGAGAGTTTATTGAAATGTAACACCGCCATACAAAAAATGCTCTCAGGAGTAGTCTCACATTCATTCCCGGACATTCATATGTATCTTTTTGTTTTCATTCCATTTGGGATAGCGTGAAATTGAAAGTGAAACATAATTCCCATCAAGGGCGAACACACTCAATTTTAGACCAAAATACCAATTCGAGTACCATCATTTTTTTTTTCGAATTTTCATTTTACAGGACTTTTACACATTGATTGTTCGATCTTCTTATTTCCGATCGCATAAATAAATGCAATTTTTATTTTACTCTATTCGACACACACACACACACACACACACACAACACACTCAATGTTGTTTTTTTTATTATTTGATGAATTTTATTTCGAAGCATTCATAAATGTATCATTGAATATAAATTGATGAAATAATATTCAAATTGACGCCATTTATTTTTGGCTATCATATTTATGTATACATTATATTTAATTGTTATCGTATCGTTTTTCATATACTCTTTCCTCGACCCCTTTTATCTATGTGATGCAATGCCACTGCTGCAAATTATTAATCCAAACGGAATTATTGAAAAATCATGACAATGTCAACACTATATGCGTACACGCGAACAAAAAAAATCAAAATCAATTCATCGAACGCAATCGACAACTGAAAATCGTTCACCGTTGATGCCACTCAAACAACAAATATAATGCTCGGGCGACGACGACGACGATGACAATGATGATGACGACGGCGGTGGCGTCGGCGGCGGCTACAATTATGATGATAACGATAACAGTACGGATTCGTGAACTATGCTCTTGAGCTACTTGTGCTCAAGCATTTCGGATTAGATGTATGGGAGAAAATCAAGTAAGTAAATGTTGTTTATTTAAAGAGAAATGTTTGGTTTTCAGATGCTATTATCTTATATCAGCGTAACTTAATCGCCGGTTAAATGTCGTTTGTTGACGGATTCCACAGCGATTATATTTAATGCGGTTAGACGCACATACAATTTGCACAGCGTGCAAAATGGCACCGATTTATTCAATTTGGCCTACTATGCAGATGCAAACGATGCTTATCTATGAGAAAAGGCGGTTAAATGGGCAACAAAATGATAAACAGATGCCAAATTGTTGTTTTGAATATTTTGTGCATGTGCGTATGCTTGCCAAGAGTGTGCAAAAATAAATAAAACGTCCATCTTTCAGGATCGCTCTATTCGTTTCTCATGTTACGTTTTTGTTGATATTCAGTTGAAACATATTAAATGGTATAACACTTTATTTCTATCATTTCTGAATATATATGTCTATCATCATTTTTACTACTAGATAAACTGAAACATCTCGCATTACAGTGCATGTAATACAATAACATTTAAATGATGAATCAACTGTATGAATGTTAAATTGTAATTTGTGCTGTATCATATATGCTACATCGTCAAAAATGATAGACAAAATACTATTTATATAAGTTTTTTACCTAAAAATTCCGAAAATTTTGTGGGCACGCGTAGTAAGTTTAAGGCTTTATATGATAGATTAGAATGAATGGAAATTTTGTTGATGTCACTATGTTGCCGTTATAATTAAATCTTCGAACCAATAGATATTCTCTTGCAATGAATTCAGTTTGAATGTTGTCACTTCAAATCATATTTGATGCTCTCTATTGAGCAATCGAATTTATTATGAAAACAACAAGCGACAGGGGAACAAAAACTTTATCTTATGTCGAATACTCTCACTCTCGACGCACACACATTTATGCTAAATTATTGACCATACATTCCGTAGAACATAAAAATACCAAAAAAAAACGAAATAAAAACCTAACAATACTGACGATAAATATATGAATGTTTGTACAATGATCGCATCTTCTTTATTGCAGACCATAATGTCTAACATTATTATATTATTCAGTTTGGAGCCACAACAAGACTCTTGTTGAATACAACATTTACACATTCCTCTATAAAAACACAATGTTTCTGCACACGAAATATGGTTTTTCCCTTCTGTGTACCTTTTGTTCGATTATTTGTCTCAGTTTTTTTTTCTCTTTGCAAATTACGCGACACATATCACCTACTGTTCGAGCACAGATTTCCTTCATCATATCGCAAACAAAAAGCAGTATACACACTGAGCAGAAAAATGTACATAAAACGAAAAAAAGTCGCCTCTTTCCACTTTTGTTGGAACATTTCCAACAAATGATCTTTTCTTTCATCTATAGTCAATTTCCATTCGCATTTTATTTATTAAGAAAATAGTAATTCGAATAGAAGAAAAAATACTCTCACTCGTATACATATTACATCTTTTTTCTATTCTTTTGAGGAAAATTATGATGCGGTTGTCAGTGTATTATTGTTATTTTGATGTTGGCTTTTTTTTTCATCTATTATTATTCAAGTCTCCTCTTGGCTCGATTGTTGTTATTATGTTTGTTTTTTTTTGTTCTGGAAAAATAAGTATACATATGTGTACTAATCCATGTGCTGTGTTAACAAAAAAAAAATCCTTTGTGGTTACGACGGCAATGTGAAACGAAAGACGAGAGAGGGAAGGAGAGGGAAAATAATAAATTTAATATAGGAATATGTCCTCATGTGAATGTTGTTCAGCAATTTTCCTGCTGACAAATTCAGCATCTTGAGTACGTTAGATGCTATTTATTTTTGTTGTTGTTATTTGTTCTCATCATATCATATAATAAAATGCATACCATTTGTTTCATGCGTGCAAAGCACTTTTTTATGCGCACATTTTTCGTGTGCTGACAACTCAGGTTTGAATGCTTATCGTAATATAGATGTCGATTCAATCAAATCTTCAAATTTACTAAAAAAATTGATTGTCCTATATTTTCATTAAATTGATGTGGGATTAAATATATGTGTGGTTGGAGCTTAACACACTTCGCAAGTGTGAAATTAAACGTGTAAAATATATAAAAACACCATTGCAACGTGTATCGATAGTGGATAGTTTTATTCCACAAAATCCAAACATGTACAAATCGTAACATTCCAATTAATATTATCCAGAGGTAAGATTGAAATAGCGGCTATTTTGTGAAATATCTTGGATATTTATTTATCCAGTTTTATTCAAATATAAAAGCTTTTAACAATCCGAAACACTTAACTTATGAAACTAAAGGTACTCTATGGTATCTTAATAAAATCGCTTAGTGCGATTTATTTGCAATTATTCCATTTTATTCCAAGAATTCCTGATGATGTTGTACTGTAATAAATATCGGCGAGTTTTATTTTTTATTGTTATCGTTCATGGTTGCGACAACCAAAGACCAGTCTAAGCCTTGTGCAGTCAGATGGATTTCTGTAGAACTAAAGAATTTTGTGCCATGGTTGAACGAAGCAAAAGAAGAAGAAATGGTAAAGAAAAATATGGTGATGGTGCAAAAATTTAAGCAAAAAACTAATCCCATACTCTATGGATATTCCAAAGAAAACCACTTTGTGTGTATAAAAACATATAATTGATGAATGATTCGTCTGAAAGCTGACGGTTTGCCACATCGCGTAATTACCCACCACTGACTGCAAGACCATTTTACACTTTGTGTTGGTAACTGCGCACACAGCAGTGCTGTGAAAAAAACCTAGCACACATAGACATGCTCACCAAAAAAAGAGAGATAATAATGTCTTAAATTGCAATGGCTAAAGCAGGCAGGTACTCAAACGAAAGGCAGGTATTTCTTAATTTTTCTTGCTCCATTTTTGCTTGCTGCATATTTTGTAATAAATGTCCTCCTATTGATCTGTGTCTCTAGCTCTTTTTCGAAAAGAGCATCTTCTCTCTTTGGTTTGCGCGTGTAAATGTAACACAATTTAATATTTAATTTATCGGTCAAAGTAAAAGCATTTGATGCGCGCAACATTTGGAACGAAAAAAAAAAATCGAACCGATAAAAGGCTATTTTACAAATTATTTATTCTAATTGTGAATTTAAATGTCATTTTTTTGTAGTAACATAAAAGAATTTAACTGATTTTACAAAAGTCGGGGTTAAGCAAAAACAAATTCCATAAAAAACTTAGGCTTGTATGTGTTTATGTTCAAAATAGTATGGAAATATATGCACTGGCACACATATTGACAGTTTTGAATCACACTGTGGCACTCGTACAAAGTTCAAGAGCCTTTGAAGCACTTTATTCAATCTGGTTTTATCGGATTTTCTGATCGATTTGCGAGTAAAAACACTGTCGCCAAAATAAACAGATGGAACAAGTAACGAGAGCAACTCGTTGGCGGTAGCGTATGAGAGTGAATATTTCAGAGAACGCGGCACCTCATTGTGATATGCATCACATTGCTTATCATTTACAAAGCAGCTAGCCTCTCGGAACGCTTCATAAAATATGATCTATATATCTATGATGTACATTGAAAAAGCATTAAACACCACACCGAAAACGAAAATAAAAGACAAAAATGACACATACACATACTAAATGAAATACAGCCATATCAAAATCACCCATTTTGTTTGCACCACTTGTTAAATATTGATCGTTTATATACATACGTATATTTTGAACCCAAAATTCGAACGTATTACACTAAAACGGATAGTGAAATAACACTGTTTCGTGTTAATGATGAAAATAAAAATTGTGCATTTCCAATTGAATGACCATCGTTGTAAAATATTTTCCTATTCAGATTCCATTGGTGCCATGCTGGTTTTTTTGTCTTCTTCTCTACGACAACATTAAACATAACACCAATCGAAAAAAAACGGGGGAAAAATCAGATATTTTGTGAAACAAATCGATTCCTATGATGCAAAAAAAAATGTAAAGGTAACCATTTACCTATAGAATAGTGTAGTTAGAACGAATGGACAGAAACCAGAAAAGTGTTTGGAAAGTGAAATGTTCAGCTTTTGTTTCGACGAACAATCGTTGCTTTTTTTGAAAGGGTAGGCTGGATTTGTGGTGAGTATTGAATTCAATGAAAAGTGAGTGTGTCCGATAAAGAGAAAATGGAACTTGATAGTGATATTAATTACGAACGTGTTGTACAACTTTCATACACATCTAAAAACCGATTGTAAACAAAACTAATAGCAAATGTGATTTGTTTGCGAAAAAGAATTTAGCTACATGCATACAGTGAAATTCCGAGAAATTTAGTCATGTATCAAACGTTGATGACCTTTACCAGAAATTATTCAAATTTTCTAAAAAATTTGTTCACCTTCTTTGAGCCATTCATCTTAGTATTCAAATTGCTTACCATTTCATTCAATAGTCGTTTTTATAGTCTATCATTTTTCTGACACATTTTTGAAAAAAAAAAACTAACAGCGAGACATTTTATAGAAATATACTGACGAATGTGACACAAACAAAGGTAACGGGAAATGATGAAAACAATTTTTGCTTAAATACGTTGTCATACCGTTTGGAAAACTCTATCCATTTTATGCAAATTTTCAATAACACCCTGAATTTTTGTTCGATTTGCTGTGAGAGAAAGAACTCTTTCTCTAATGTAAATGGAAACCACTACATAAATGGGACGAAGAAAAAAATGAAATTCACACGAACAGCCTTATAATCCGGCTTTTTATTCTGTTCGTCAATTCAAAAATAAAAGGAACATAAAACAAAGCAGAACAAGATTCGGAAACTCAAAGCCAACATTTACCATACCCTTTTATTCATAACATTATGGGGACACTGACGCTCTTCCACACATACATCTACCCTATTTTTTTGCAGTGCTATTTTCTGGTGGATTTATCATCGTTTTTCCAAAAACGAGTGCTTGAGGATTTTGTGTATTGAAAAATTTACATTAGATAAAAAATCG